CGCTCTCTATATATATATATATATATATATATATATATATATATATACATTTCTTTTCATGTATTTCTCTCGAGCACTGGGCAATGAAGTCCCCCTCGCCTCCCCCCCCTCGCAGCAACAACGTACGCACTCTTCTGTATTTCCCTCTCTTGTCTGCTGTGCCTTTTGTGCCTTTCACCTTTCCTTTTTTCTGTTTCTTTCTCCAGCCCCTTCTGCTGTATGCCCCAACGACCTTCGGTCTCGCCAGACGGATTGACTGTACACCACAAACTGTATAGTTGTTGTGTTTCCTTACTGCTCCCTAACACAGACATTCCCTCCCTCCCTTCTTTAAAGAAATACTAAACCAAGCCACTGATCTTTTCAAACATACAAACGGCTCTTTTGCATATTCAGCTGTTGCCCGCACCGGCGCCACCAACCACGCCTACCTCTACGAGGGCTACTACCAACTAGGAGTGGCACTCGTCTTCTTTTTTTCTTCTTCTTGGCACACCTGGTGCGGCCTCCTCCCCCTTTCCAAGACGAGCAGTACTTCCCGCTGCCTCGCAAGGAAAGAAAACAACATGTGGAGACGCACCCCCGTCTTGCGCTTCGTGACGACCACCGCCGCCCTCTACGCCCCACCCTCGTCTTCCTCTTCCTCCGCGTCGTCCACGAACAGCAAGCCCGCCAACCGTGCCTGGTCGGTGCCGCCCAGCATTCTGAAGTGGTACCCGCGGCAGGCCGGCGAGTTCTTGGCGAACTGCCTCACCGGGCACAGCGCTTTCATTCACGACATCCCGAATCGGTTCGACAGGGCCCACGCGCGGCACTTCTCCTTCGTCGAGGCGCTCACCATCACCCCACTCTACACGCTAACGATGGTGCATTACTTTTCTCTCTTCTGCCAGTACCCGACCCGCGTCGAGGTGCTGAAGCCGATGCTGGAGGAGCTGGGGCAGAAGAGTGATCTTCAGTACCGGTGGCTGTGCGTGTTGCAGGACACAAACCCTGTCAGCTCCATTGCCTGGCGTTGTGCACTGCTCACATCGCAGCTACTCCTCTTTCCTGCGTGGCTCCTGCTATCCTCCGCGGCGCCACAGCTCGTCCACGCCACCGTGAGCTACTCGTGTCGCATACTGCATACCAAGTACAGCTGCATCAGCACGGCAGGAAACCGCGCGGCTGTGCCGGCCTTTGTGGCGAAGGCTGCGGACTTGTATGCGGAGCGGGAAACATTCCACGAGGCGCAGGCCATGGCGCTGCCCACGGACTTCGGCGTGGCGATTATTATGCTGTTTCTCATCATCTTTCTGACCTCGTAGGAGGACGGAAAACTCTGACCTGATGGGGAGAGAAAAGGCGACGAGCTCGCGAAACACGTTGAAGGGGAACTGACAGCAAGTTTCTAAACCTGTTTGTCTTGTCTCGTGTGTGTGCGTGCGTGTGTGTGTGTGTGTGTGTGTGTATGGATTGCTGGGCAGCTGAACGGGTGCCGCTTTCTCGTTTATTGAGTGCATGCACGATGACGTTCATTCTTGTCGAGCTCGTTTTAAAACCATATATATATATATATGTATGTATATATATTTTCTTTGACTGCCGGTGACCTCCTTTTTCTGGAGTTTTTGTTTTGCTCTTCACAGTGATGCTGTTCTTCCTTTTCTTTTCTTGTCCCTACACACGAGTGCTATTTATCTTTTCTATTGTTGTTTCCACTGCTGATCTGGCCTCGTCCGGCGTGGCGGAAACGGCACGTGCTGCGTATTTTCTACAGTAGTTCTCTTTGGACTCGCCTTCACATTGGCCTACGAAAACAACAACAGCGAAAAAGGAAAGGAAAAAGCGGCATTGTGCACTGTCAACGTCGTGTGCGTGTGTGCCACAAAGAAACACACCGATAACTTGTAACAGAAACACACAGCGAGATCACACGGCGTGCGGCTCCCGTCGTACCACTGCCTCCCCCTCGTGCTCTAGCCGCAATTCTGCACCGTGTAGCCGTTACCCGGTGACCCACACTATCGTCCACGCCTTCTTGTGAGTTTTTTACATGCGGTGCTCTGTCAGTGTGACGCCGCCACGAGCACGCGGTCTCTCAGTCAAAGCTTCACCTTTCTAAAACCAAATTCTCATTCCTTTCATTTCCTGCTGATCCCCCGAGCCGGTTCTGTAAAGAAGCTCAATTCCCCCCCCCTGTACTCTTTTTTCCCTATTTTGTTAGTTTCCTCGTTCGTTCTTTCACCGCCGTGTTGAGTTCGTTGTCCTGTGCTGTTCTCCTGCAAACCTCACCGACCGCCCCCCTGTCCGCTGCGAGTGTTGGAGGCGTTTCGTTCACCCGTCTTTGTTTTTCTTTATACGGTTCAAACTCAGATCCTGTGCCCCCCCCCCTGTTGATGCAATAGCGCATTTCATTGACAGGCACTGCGGCACCTCTTCTGTTCTTCAGTAAGTATATTGTACCTTTGTGATTCCCACAGCGGAGTCGGAGCGTGTTTGTCGATCGGCGCGGACCAGCACCGAAGCAGGCCACCACACACGGCGACAACAGCGGCGAAAGTCCGCGGTTGCCACGGGCCAGCAGCAAGACAGCACCGCACGTATTTGCACACGTGTACGCTCCGCCATCTTATTTGAGAGTGAGCGCACTTGTGTCGCGTGGTGCCTCCCGTACACTCACCAAAATCTTAAACGTTATTCCCTCTTTGTGTATTTGTCCCGTGGCGCCTCCTCTTGCTCCCTTTTTACGCAAGAATTGTCTCCATAACGACAAGCTAAAACCCGCAGACCACGATCTTTTCTATCGTCGCGACGACGCCCCTCCACCATGAACGTCAACTACCTCATCAGCGTCCCCAGCGGTGTGGCGGCGTTCGACGGCGTGAAGAAGCTGCTGGCGCACGCGATGGCCTTCCCGGTCGAGGAGGGCAAGAGCGGTGCCGTTGACGTGCCAAATTTGTTCTGCGGCTGCGACCCGGAGGAGCATCCGCTCGGCTCCGGCGGCGGCACGGTGCACCTGCTGCACGAGTGCTACACCGAGGAGCAGCGCCGCGCGCCTCCCGCGATGCGCAAGTCGTTTCTGTCGTGGCTGCGGCTGGGCGACAGCGACGGCCGTGTGATTGTGCACGCTGGTGGGCTGAGCCGCCGGTTGCCGGCCTACGCGACGTTGGGCAAGGCGCTGCTGCCGCTGCCGCCGTGCCACTGGCATCGTGGCAGCCAACTGACCCGCGCGCTGCTGTCCACGCAGATGCCCCTGTACCGCGCGTTGATCGCGAGCGCCCCGTCCAACCTGCGGACGCTGGTGGCCTGCGGCGACATCTGCGTCTACGTGAAGGGCGCCGTGCCGTCGCTGGCGCAGTTCACGGACACGGACGTGCTGTGCCTGGGCGTGCGCACCGATGCGCAGGTGCTGCAGAACCACGGCGTCTTCTTCATGTCGCGCCGAAAGCCGTTTGACCTGGAATTCATGCTGCAGAAGCCGTCGCTGGCGGAGGTGCGGCGGTGCGCGACGGAGGGCGACCGCTCCTTCCTGCTCGATGTCGGGCTGTGGGTGCTGAGCGACCGTGCGGTGGAGGTGCTGGCCCGCCGGTGCCTCGGCGCTGCGCTGGACGACGGCGCGGTGAACGGTGAGGGCCTCGACGGCCAGCGCCACACCGCGGTGCGCAACCCCTGCGACCTCTACTCCGAGTTCGGCGCGGCGCTGGGCTCCAACTGCGCGCGCGCGGACCCGGAGGTGACGGCGCTGAAGGCGAGCGTGCTGGAGATTGCGGATGCGGAGTTCCTGCACTACGGCACGAACCGGCAGCTGATCTCCTCGTCGCGGACGCTGCAGGCCTGCGAGTCGCCGACGCCGTCGTGGTCGTGGAGTGCGCCGTTTGACGGCATCTTGGTCCGCGAGCGCTGCGAGAACGGCTCCAGCCCGGAGGACCTGACGGCGGTGGAGGCGCACTCTGCCAGCGACACCGCGAACTCCGCGGCGACGGAGTTGGACTTCACCGCTGGCGATGCGCTGCCGCTGCTGGCGACGCCGTCGTCCGTGCTTGTTCACAACGCCGTGGTGCTCGCGCCGCTGGACGGGTCTGCGGCTGCGGCGACGGCGCCCGCCGGTATGCCGAAGCGCCCCGTGGCGCACCTGTGGGTGGAGAGCAGCTGGATCGGTGCGAGGTGGACGCTGCGGGACGGCCATGTCCTGACCGGCGTCCCGCAGAACAACTGGGAGCTGGACCTGCCGCTGGGCACCTGTGTGAGCGTGGTGCCGGTGGTGCGGGGGCGGGTGCGGGACGGGGCGGCGGACGGGGACACGCCGTACGCGGCGCGCCCGTACCACATCGATGACGCCTTCCGCGGTGATGTGCGCTCTGCGACGACGGTCTTTATGGGTGTCTCGCTGCACGAGTGGCTGACCAGCCGCGGCCTCGCGGTGGACGACCTGTACCCGGTCCACGCGGACGTGTCGAAGCCGCTCGACATTTACAGCGCGGCGCTCTTCCCCGTTTGTGCCACGACCGACCAGCTCGGTGATTTCCTGTACCTGGCGACGTTGCCGGTGAGCGTGGCGGGCGATGCAAGCGCCGTGGACGCGCGACGGCTGGCGGCTGGTCAGGCCGTCTGGCACACCCAGCCGCGTGTCTCGGCCATGGACCTGCTGCACGTGACCGACATCCCGACCCAGCTGCGCAACAGCGAGTACTACGAGCGGCGCATGCTAACGCTGACGGTAGCGCTCGTCGCGTCGAGCGCGGAGGAGGTGACAGACGAGCTGGGCTGGTCGCTGCCCTCCACGCCCGCGGGAACGGCGGCGGCGCGGCCTGCCGGCCTCACTGCGCGCTCCTCCGTGTTGTCGGCGCCGATGGTGTCGCTGCTGCAGCAGCAGTTCTTTTTGCTGGACCTGAACGTGGTGGCGCAGCGCATGGTGGAGCTGGGTGTCGGCCTGCCGGTGACGAGCGGGGTGACGGCGCACCGCCGTACGGCACGCAAACGGCGCCGCAGCAGTGCCGCGGACGTGGGCGACGCCGCTGGTGCGGCTGCGGTGGAGGGCGAAGACGGTAACGGCGTCGTGTCTCCTGTGTCGTGGGCGCACATCTTCACGAGCGACTCCGGCCTCGGCGGCGCGGGCGCCAACTCGCCGCCGTGCTCCGTCTCACCGCACCTGGTGGCGGCGCACTACCACATCTTCGTGCGTCGCCTCGCCGAACTGCAGCTGGCGGCGATCCGGGCTGCTGGACCGACCATGGGTGCGGAGGAGAAGGCGAAGCGCCTGGCGCTGCTACACGCTTCCTCCGTCGAAGCCGCCGAGGAGCTGGTCGAGCGCCACGACGCAGCGGCCTTTGCGGAGCTGCGCACCGCCATCATGGACTCCTACCCGAGCGAGCGCAACACACCGAGGCTGGGTGTGCAGCTGGATCAGATCATCTGGGGCCGCTCCCCTATCCGCATGGACCTCGCCGGTGCGTGGACTGACACGCCGCCGTACACCCTTCTGAATGGCGGCTGTGTCATTAACGTGGCTGTGGAGCTCAACGGGCAGCCGCCTGTGCAGGTGTACGTGCGTGTGCGCCGCGACGACCCGACCATCGTGGTGCACTCCATCGACTCCGGCGCGCGCACGGTGCTGCGCAGCTACGACGACATCCGCAGCTACGCCACTATGCTGAACCCCTTTTCGATCCCCAAGGCGGCGCTCGCGCTGAGCGGCTTTCTGCCGGAGTTCTGCACGACGGCGTACGCGTCGCTGCAGGATCAGCTGAAGGCCGACTTCGGCGGGCACGGGCTGGAGATCTCGTTGCTGGTGGCGATCCCCACTGGCTCTGGTCTCGGCACCAGCTCCATCGTCTCTGGTGTGGTGATGCGGTCGCTGGCCGAGTTCTGCCAGCTGCGGTGGGATGAGCACGCCGTGTGCCGCCGCGTGCTGCTGGTCGAGCAGATGCTGACGGCGGGCGGTGGCTGGCAGGATCAGTACGGTGGTCTTTTTGAGGGCCTGAAGCTCGTGCAGTCGGTGCCGGGCCTGCCTGCCACGCCCACGGTGCGCTGGATGCCCACGGGCATCTTCACCGACCCACGCTTTGCCTCCTGCCACCTGCTGTACTACACCGGCATCACGCGCATGGCGAAGGGAATTCTGGCGGAGGTTGTGCGGGATGTGTTTCTTAACAACAGCGCCAAGCTGCAGCTGCTGCACGAGATGGGCGGCCCACAAACCGCTGCGATGTACGACAAGATCACGACAATGGACTACAAGGGCTATGCCCGCCTGGTGCATCGCACCTGGGAGCAGAAGAAACGGCTGGACGATGGCGTGTGCAACCCGCAAGTGCAGGCGATCGTGGACGTTGTGGAGCCGTACGTTTGGGGCCAGCTGCTGCCTGGTGCGGGTGGCGGCGGCTACCTGTACATGTGTGCGAAGGACGAGACGTGTGCGCGCAGGATTCGCGAGCTTCTCACGGCGAACCCGCCGAACCCGTACGCGCGCTTCGTGGAAATGAGCGTGTCGACAACTGGAATACAGATCAGCCGCTCGTGAAGAGGTCTGCTTTTGTTCTTCCGTGTGCGCTCGGTGCGATGGCGGTGGAGCGTGTGCCGGTGGCTGCCTCCTGCTGATCCCCCGAGTTGCTGCTGTGAAGCGTTGTAATGGATGTACAGAGATGTGTTTGTGTTCTTGTGTTTATCGCATGGCGACAGGCAAGTGAATTTCTTTGCTTTTTTGGGTTAGCATCGAAGAGGGTACCTATGGGTTCTTCGATATATAAATTGTTTTGTTGTGGGAGAGCGCTCACGTGACCGTTTCTCCCGATATCGGTTCTTTGTGATCTGTCTCTCTAGACACCAGCCGAATCTGAGTCGCCACCGCAGTATCGGTTCACTCAAGAATGCCGAGAAGCCGCCGCGGAAAGAATGGGAGGTGAAGGAGCATTCCCTCTTCCTTCCCCCCCCCTGTTAAGTTGCTGATGCCAAATTGATATCTTTTGATTATTTGGTGTTTTTTTTTTTAGCAGCAAAAGAAAACTTATTTAGAAGGGAATAACATGAATATTAAAAGAACAGAGCGTTGGGCACGCAACAGCAGCACAGAGGGAATTCTCTTGTCTTTTATTTGATTCTCTTCTACGTATCGGTAGTATACAGTTTTGTTTATAGGTCTTAATTCTTTTTGCGGTCTAGCGGGCACTATCGGAAACGCCTGAGGTTGTGCGCAGGCGATGCGAGCCGAGATGAGGCCGCACGTAAAGATCGAGTGCACTCGACGCAGGGTTTTTTTCTTGTAAACTTCCGCCTTGCCCTTTGTGCGCGGGGTCTCTTCTTCGCACGCATTGCTTTTTTTTTTCCCTGTTGTTGCTCTTTGTAGTGTTGCCGCACGGCGTTGCCATCAAAACTAGCGCCGATTGCCCTCTTCTTTTTTTTTTTGTCTTTCCCATGCCGTGGCTTTTGTGTGTTCCTGTGCTGTGGTCTGTCGTGCTATGATGATTATTATTTTTTATCTGAAAGCTTGCGACAGAGAAGAATTGCTAGAGATGAAACGAAAGCTAGATGATGCGTCCTCTGCCTTTCTTATTCTCTCCCGCCCCTCTCGTCGGCCTCTCTCTCTCTCTCTCTCTCTGAGAAGCTGCTTTTTTTTTTTGTTTTCTCGCCGTCCCGCCCCTTCTCAAAACCTCACGAGGCGGACGTGCCGGCGATCTGTGCCTGCAAGCAACTCCCTTTTGTATAGTCCCCCTAATACTTAAAGCAGTGCACAAGCTATGTCAACCCTTAACGAGAAAGAAAGAAAACAGAAGATGACACACGGGATATAATGATGCCTGTTTACACTTTAGTTGTCTCTCTTCAATCTTCTTTACCCCTTCTCTTCCTGAAAAGGAGGAGTCGACTGGAGTTTTTCTTATTTGCCGGTCGCCTTCCCTTACCCTCCCTTTTGGGCTGTGCGTGCTTCGTGCTCGCGGCAAGAGTGCTCACACACCGGAAGGGGACGAGAAGGGTGACACGCATGGGCGCATGGCACGCTCGGGAGACTGAAGACGGCTGTGGAGGAGGCGAGGTAAAGCGCATCTCTCCCCCTCCAAATCGGAGTTCCGTTGGTAGAATGCTGGAGAGCGGTCGTTATTCCCACTGTTTCGCTTTCTTAGGCGGCCGTGCTCTCTGAACGACACCGCTCGCACTTCGCACCAACAGAACGAGTTGTGGCTGGCGCTTGAGTGTGCGCACCACGGTGTTCCTGAAGGGCGAACACGCCTGCTCTCGGAGACCGTCTTTCTCCGTCACTAGATGGCACGTTGTAATCGATAGACTTCCTTAGCCTTTTTTCTCTGCTCCTGACCTCAACTGTGTCTGGTTTCTTATCTATGCATACATACATATATGGGCTGATCTTATCGGCGACTTTGTGTCACGTTAAGCCGACGGAGGCAGCAGACCTACATCAATACCAACCGCACCAGTGTGATATAGGAATCGTGAAAGAGTCACAGCCGTCTGCAAGTGCCGACAATGCCACCAAAGCAGCCCCCCGCAAAGAAGAAGACGGCGCAGCGAGTGCGTGTGACCAACAAAGCTCTCGAATCGCGGCAGTTCTCAACGGTGCGGCTTCCCCGCACCAACGAGGTCGCTGCGCAGAAGGTCGATGTGCAGTCGATGTTTCGCGAGCTGGCCACTGACCCATCACGGCTCACGAGCGGCAACAGCGGTGCGGCAGTCGCGGCTCCGTCCTCCAGCTTCGACCCGATCGTCAACGACGCCATGTTCAGCGTTGTGGCCCACTCACAATACTGGCCTCCCCCATCGCTCGAGGCGTTGCATGCGAAGACGGGTCAAGACCACGGTGACGGCTTCGACAGCTACGACAGACGCGAGGACGACAAGCGGGCGCGCAAGGAGCGCGCGAAGGTGATTAAGGGCGAGATCAACCACCCTCGTGGCAAGACGCGGCAGAACACGATTGTGAAGTTGTCCGACTCCAGTGGCAGTGATGAGGGGGAGTCAGAGGAGGAATAAGGGGGCATGGTCCTTGACAAACGACTCTCGTGCCAAGAGAGAGGGAGAAAGAGAGAAATACAACGAGGCAAGGAGGACGCCGGCGCGAAGAATGGGAAGCGCCGATGCAGCCGCCGTCGCGTATTCGGACTCTCTGTCTGTCTTCCCCAGCTCACGGACCGGGGGAACTGTTGCGATATACAGCAGCACTGCTACAGCCAGCTGCATGCGTATGTGTGTGTGTGTGTGTGCGTAATTGCGTCTAAGGCGATTAATCCAGAACTTTGACAAACGTGTAACCGAATTAAATATGCTGCGTATGCGTGCCCGCGTGTGTTTCTCTGCGTTGCCATCGCTGATGGGCGGCGTCGTGGGTGTTCTTGTCTTCGCCGTTTCTTTTTGCGGGTTTGCAACACCGATAATCTGCGCGTAGAACACCCAGCTGTTAAAAGAAGATGAAGGAAAAACAGACAAAGCCGTGATCGAAGTGCCCAAGTTTGGTGTGTTGAGGACGGAAGGACGTGAAAGAGCATGAATAGCGTAAACGTCCACGAGGGCACGCTTTCTTTTCCGCTGGGGGCACCGTATGAAGGATGCTTCGTGACGGAGGCACCTGCATTCGTCCACGAGACCGCTTAAGAGAGAAAGAAATAATTCATCGCTGATGTCCGGCCATCAGCAAACTCAGTGGGTGCGCAGGTGCATCGCGATTGAAGCGTACGCCTTCTTCTTCCCACCTCTGCCTTCTACAACTCCGTCGCGCTTTCTTCTTTCACGTACGTTGCTACCATACTGCCGGTGTCGTCAAGTCAAAGCACAACGGTTTTGTGCAGAGGTGAGACGGATCTGCACGTGCACTTCCCCCCCCTCCCCCTCCATCCCGCATTGTCAAGCGACTGCTAATTGTCCCCTGTGCGTGAGAGGAGACGACGATGTACCGCCGCCTCGCCGCTGCCGCCGGCGGGCTGTCGCGTGTTCTGCTGCACGTGAGCAGTGAGCTCCAGCAGCTCGCCGACGCGGAGAAAAGTCTCCCGTCCTCAGCGCCTCCTCCCTTGACAAATGCAAGTAGTGATGGTAAGGTCAGTGGTGAAGGAGCGTCAGACAACTCTTCGTCGTTCGACGCCGCTCAGCACGTGGCGGCAGACAAGCAACTGCATTCGCGCGCAGACGTAAAAGCGGTGTGTGACTGGTTGAAAAGTACAGGACTCTACGCGTGGCTTCCCTTCTCCGAGGATCAGCACCGCACAAGAAAGCTCACACACACCTGGCTGAGTTCCATGTGGTCCCCACCAGCTTCAGAGACCGCCTACCACTCATTGACCTACAGCGTCGGGTCGTCCTCTGCGCTGCTGAGTGGCATTGAAAAAGTCATGACAAACGCCGCGGCCCATCAGCTAAGACTGCCGAGCCGCTTCTACTGGCCTGGAGCGGCATTATCAGACCCAAAACGACCGGCTCCTAGGGATATTGGAGACCCACCGTCGTCACCGCAGCTATTCCCCGTTAGGTCACCCCATTCAACGAACGCAGCGGCATCGGCGACGACAACGATGCTGTGGCCCACAGCGATGCGCACCACGACAGGGGATACGGTGCAGCGTCCGGCTTCTGCTTCTACTCCTTTCTTTTCTGCTCTGACACGCACCGTTGCATTGCCGACGCTGCCTTCCATTGCCACCGCAGGGCAGGTATTTGCGCCCGCGCCGCGCACACCCACGGCGTCCGCAGAGCCGTCCTCCGGCGGTGGAGTGCTCTTCTCCTCTCGCTTCGAAGCGTACATGACCCTGCTGCTCACCGCACGCACGCAGGCGCTGACTCGTAGCGCAAGCCAGCACAACGTGTTTGCTGGACAGGAGGCCGCTGCACACCAGCTGGGCAGGCTTGTGCTTTACGCTGGGGACCAGGTGGATCCACTGCTGCTGCGTGCTGCACAGCTGGCCGGCATTCAACATCTGCGCCTCTTACAAACCGTTGCGGGCGATCGTCAGCTTCCCCCTTCGCCGCCGCCGCTGCCGCCTTCATCACGCGTGGGCACGACCGACGATATTGAGGTGGTGCACCACTACAATTACACGGTGGATGTGACACGGCTGCAGGCCCGCTTGATGGAGGACGTGGCGGCCGGCCTGTACCCGATGATGGTGGTGGGCACCTTCGGCTCTGGCCTGAGCGGTGCCGTGGACCCGCTGGCGGCACTCGGTGCGTTCTGCACGAAGCTGGGGGTGTGGTATCATATCGATGCGAGCCACGGTGGGCCGGCGCTGCTCGCGAGTGGCCGCAGAGCAGACCCCTCGCCGCCTTCGCCCATTTCAGCATCTGGGCAGTCCCGATGGCGCGCCTTCGCGGCGGAGTTCGAAGACGCCGCCTGCATCGCCGACTCGCTGCTGTTGCCGGCGGGCGGCTCGGCGCTACCGTACTCCACCGTGCCCGGTTCTTCGATTCACCTGAACGGTGGCCGCGGCCTGGCGGGGGCGGCGTTGCTGTTTGTGGCGCACGTCCGCAAAGTCGCGTGGGCCGTGCAGAGCCTCGGCGAGTCGCGCCAGTCCACCTTCAACCAACACGTCACCCCCGGCGTATCGGATAGCGACGTTCTGCGCTTGGGTTCCCTGGCGCACTCTTGTGGATGGTTCGCGGAGCTCGCAGCGGCCGCCACGGCGACGGCGATGCATGGCGGCGGACGAACCCGAAAAGAAGCATTTCATCATACAGCAGCGGAGGAAGGAAGCTCGCAGACGTCGGTGGTGGACAACGCAGAGGATGCCTTGGTGCAGACGACACGCTGCGGTGCTCCGTCGCCGCTCCCCCCCACGGATCCCCGCGTGCACCTTGCCGATCTGGTAGCTTGGCATCAGCAATTTACTTCTGCGGTTCTGCACGCCATCCGTAGCGACGGCCGCTTCGACGCCTCGTTAGATGCAGCCCTTTTTGGCATGGTGCGCCTGCGCTGGCTGACGGCCGCGGATGAGGCGACGCGGGAGCTGGCGCGGGCGTGGGCTGACGTGCTGAACGCAGACGTGCGTGCGGCCGCACTGAAAAATCCTAGCGAGGCGTCTGCGAATGCCGCGGCGAGTTCTACGGCAAGGCGTGACGACTCACTGGCGTGTGAGACGAGCGGCACTCCTCCGCTGCAGGTGTACGTGGGCGTTGTGCAGTTGCAGCGGCGCCTATGGGTGAGCCTTTCCTTCGGCGTCCTTCCTCATTCGAGGGCGAAAGCAAAGGAAGAGGTGGGGTATTCCACGTTGGGCGGGAGCGCCGGGAGCGGGTCGCGTGAGGGTTGCAGCTGCACTGCATCTACGAAAGAGGCTGAGGAGTATGTTCTCCACACGTTAGATCTGGCTGCACGCCGCGTCCAGTCGAAAGGAACTACGTAGGGTATGCATGGGAAGGGTTTTTTTTGGTTTTCTCTCTCTGTTGCTGTTCTTCACACTACTTCCGGTAAAACCTGTAATATTTACTATGTCAGTAAAGCAGAGTCGCCCTCCACGATATGTGTGGTACGTGGAAGCGAAGCGCATTGGCCAAAATTATTGAATCGAACGGCGATGTGGCTGGTGAGCGTCGTCTGCAGCGTCGCTGCTAATTCAAACAGAAGAAAGGTGGAAACATGCTGGCGTTTTCGCGCTCCCTCTCTCCGTGTTTATCGCCTCCGTACTTGCGTGCTTCCTATTTCGCCTTCTCTTCCTGTGTAGTTCGGCGCCTTCGAAGTAAGTTAGCGAGACAAAAAAAGGCGCATTCAGTTGGTATCCCGTGGTCATCACAGTGAGGTCAACGCACTGTCGTGGCCCCTCACCGCAGTTAAAGTTCCCTAGGGAATCCTACATCGTACAGCACCATCGCCGTACCCGCACACACCAAACCTAACTCACAAACAGCCGACAACAACATGCGGTGTGCTACTAGTTTTTCTCGCCGTGCGCGTCTCTCCTGCGGCAGACGGTGCAGCGCTGTGCCTGCCACCGCCACCGCCTCCGTGTCATCGCATCTTATGCCGGCACGGCATCCCGCGTTACGTGGGCACGTTGGGCACGGGGCAGCGGTGGTGGTGGTCGGTGCGCTGCGTGTGACGCGTCTTCTCCTGCGTGAACGTCGAACGCTTTCATCTTCGGAAATCGTCGAAGTCAGCCTGCATGCGCAAGAGCTCTCGAGAGACGCGCACGGTTCCTCGTCGTTGGAGCTAAACCTATTGGAGGACCCGACGGCGGGCCTGGCCAGCGGCCCCGCGGAGGAGCTTTCCCCGACCGAGCTAGAGACGCGCGTGCGGGTGCTCGTCTCCAGTTACGCCCCGTCGATCTACCGGCTGCTCTACACCCCTTTCATCGACGTGGTGGGGGTGCTGGTCCGGGAGAAGCTCGTGCCTGAGGGCGAGGATGCGAAGCGGACAACGACGATGACGACCAGCACGAGTACTACAACGGCCTCCCCAACACCGAGCACTTCGCCAGCGTCGAGTGGAGCCAGCGCTTCCAGTTTTGGCGGTGGAGTGGGAGTCATCGCCACGGCCGCGGCATCGCCTCCTGATCTCGTGCGCAGCGCGACGGTCTCCACGAGCTACCGCCCGGTTCGGCCGGAGGAAATGATGTCGCGCTGGTTTACCGACGGCGCGGCGACGCTGAAGCACCCGCATGAGACCGCCGAGGCGATGGGCAAACGGCGGTGGACACACTTCTGCCGTGCGTTGGAGGCCTACTGGGCGGAGATGGAGGCGGTGATGCCTCTCACCCGTGTTGTGCGCCACCACCACCTCCGCGAGGACCTCTACGTCCCGCTGCTTCGACAGCTCGCGATGGAGCTGGCTGACCCAACAAAGCGCACGGCGGCGGTGACGACGCTGCCGGGGTTTATTTTGAGTTTGGCGAATGGCCGTGCACCGCGCTCGCTGGGCCTGCCGGAGCGCGACGTCGACCGCATTCGCCTTGTCTCGAGCCTCTTTATGGGCGTGGCGCAGGAGGCCGGCGACACCGATCTCGCCTACCTGGCCCTGCAGCTGCTCCGTGCAAACAACATGGAGACGCCGTTCGCGGCGCAGAAGCAGCTGACCAACGTCTTCGCGGCGGCATCGCGGATTGAGACGGACTGGCAGATGCGTGGGGCTAGTCTTCTCGTGGGGTGCTACCGCAAGTGGCTCGAGTACTTCCGCGAGGTGCAACTCGATAATAAAGCGTCGTTGGAGCAGCTGGCGGCGGTGGAGGCAAGTGTGGGAAAGACGGGCGACACCGCGCAGGAGGCGGAAACACCGAATGGCGAAGAGAAACAGGTCGCACCCTCTTCCTCTTCCGCTGCCGCAGTGAAGAGGATGAAGAGCAAAGCGGGCGGCAATCACCCCGGCAGTGCAAAGCCCCAAGGAACAGGGACAACACGTGGGGAGGAAGTGAAGGCAGAGAAGGAGGAGTCAGCGGAGCAGTACCGCTACTTCACCAGCCGCCGTCAAGATGATATTACCCGCATCACCGCACTGGAAGAAAACATCGAGGCGGCGGTGCGTGGGCGAGCGGCGGAGCTGCAGGGCCTGCGCGTGCGTCGACGGAAACATCGCAGCGGAGGCCAAGAAAAGGTGGCGCCAGTGGATTCCACGGACACGGTGCGCACGAACACCCCATTACATGGGGACGAGGACCCGCCGCGGAGTTCGCAAGAAACAACAGAGGCGGTCGAAGAATACACAGGGGAGGACGCCGAAGATGCGCACGGCAGCGCCGAGAAATCAGGCGCATCATCGTCCGCGAAGGAGAAGGGCGCGGATGCACGCCGCCCACTCACAACTGCGTCACCGCACCGACGCCGCCAACTCGATGCCACGGAGGAGCGCCGCGGTGGAACGGCGACCAGCGTAAAGAGGTCGAGAAAATCTGCAGGTGCCAAGAAAGGCACGAAGGCTTTCGAGGCGGCGGCGGACGAGAGCATCTTGAGTTTTTAGCATCTCTTTCTGCCTTTGCTTTGTTTTTGGGCTCTCCGACGTCTGAAGGATGAAAGACGACAGTTGCAGCTTGGAGGATATCTCCGTTCGGCAAGGCTATTTAAAAAACACGTAATCGCTGTTCACATAATCACATTTTCAAGGTACCTTTTTCTTCTTGAAAGTAAAATGTCGTACCTTCAGCAGCACAACAAATAAAACCGCCGTAGTTTGGCGGATGCAGCGGGTGCACCTTGAGGGAGCTTCTGCAAACGCGGTTCATTGCCAGAGGATCAGGGAGACGATTCGGTGCCGCCAACCCATGTCGTGTGAGCCCCTTTTCTCGTGTTTTTTCTTTTAAATGCTGTCATGAGGGACTGTACTTTTCTTCTTGTGATGTTTTCAATCCGTCACGCGACGTGTCTTCCTCCTTCATCCCCGTTCTCACCAAATGAAATGAGAAGAGCCGAGAAAATAATCAAAGTGCAGATTGGCCAGGGGGTGAAGCGGCACCTCGCGATACTTCTTCATCGCTGCGTCAGCTGCCGGACGCTCTCACACTTCGGCTGGATCGAATTCGATCCCTCTTTTTCCTTGGTGTGCGCTGACGCTTCACCGCTACACCTTTCTTTCTCCCAAGGATAATTTGAAAGTGGGCAACCAAACAGCGACAGCAGTTAATGCTCTACGCAATGGCTCCTCCGAGCTTCACGCGCTTCATGCTGCGGCGTGTGCTCTGTACGACGCTCTTCTTCATTACCCTTCTCGTGGTCGTCTCCACGGCGACCTCGGTGTACTACGTGGTGCGCATCAACACCACCGAGAAGCACCAGAGAGCACGGGCACTGAAGTCAGCGCAGGCAGGAAAAGCAAATGCAGAAGACGATGGCGCGTTAACGCATCTTTACGAGGCCTCCGAGCGTGCTCATGCAGCAGCAGCAACAGCAGCAGAGTCACCACATCAGCCTGCGGAACGCGCCACCCGTGCCGTGCACGGGGAGTTAGCCGGTCGGCTGCGCAGCCCCTCCACACCGCGCTACGAGGAGCCATATAAGGTTTTGGCGGTGAATGCACCTCTGTCAAGACAGGCCGTGCGCAACCCAACGTTCTCGGCGACCATCCCGCTGTGGGAGAACGTGGAAACGACAGGAGAGGAAACGCAAGGAATGGACGAGCACGCGGTGTCGCGCGTACGCGTACCCGCACGTCAGCGCTACGTGTTAGCTGGCCTTGAGGCGGGTAAGCACTACATGCTGCGCCTGAGTTTTCTCGGGTCCCCGAGTGTGACCTTCGAGATGCTGCTCTATCAAGTCCCGCGGTCACAGCTGGACACTGCGCGACATAAGGCGGAAGCGACCGCTGTGGAGGAAGCGAAAGAAGGGGAGGACTCACGCCATCGGCCGCGTGTGCCAAACTGGTCCACCGTGCCGCAGGACACGGAGTTACGCGTATTTGCGATGAGCGCCACGAGTGCGCAAGAGTTTGATGAGGAAGAGGAGGATATCTGGCTAGAGGAGGCAGCGGAGGAGGACGACGTGGGCGATGTGGCAGGCGCCGGTGTGACTCGTGTGCCGCTGCACACGTCGAAAGCCTCGACGGGCCGCTACGTGCCGGTGGTGGAGGTGCGCCCGCGGGCTCTCTCCATCCCGATCGACGCCGCACGGCTGCCGGTGGTGCGCTTTAACATCGCCGTGGAGCCGCTGAGCTCGTCGTTTCTGCCGCAGGTGGCGGTCCCCCTTATCGCGTACGGGGCGTGGGTGACGGTTTTCATCGGGTACCTGTGCATCTACACCTTTGTGAGCAGCGGCGTTGCCGGGGGCAGGCCGCACGACGAGTGAGAAGGGGCGCTTTCATTGGTGCTTGCCGAAAGCGAGAAAGAAAGAGAAAGCCCAAATAAGATCACGAATAACGCGGTTCTTATCCTCTTGCGTGTTGTTGGGTTTTTTTTTTTGTATACGCGGCTGCCTTTGCGGACTCGCCGGGCTTCTTTTTTCTCCCTTTTCTGTTGTCCCCCACAGACGACACAAGTGCTTCACATCTGCTTTCATCACTGCTCTACCTGTGCTCCCTACTCCTTCCCCTTGGAAGGTTGCAGCCGACAATGCGTCGAAAGGAATATGAAGCAATGAAAATACCAATAATTTTGGGTTTCAAAAGAAAAAAAAAAGACCTCTACGCCGTTAGATACACCGCCCAACACGTCGGCCTTGTAGGCGCGCGTGCTTCTCTATTGCGTTGATAGGACGCGGATGTCGCGGGAGTTCTGCTCGGCTCCGTATTCTTTCTTTCTCTTTTCCTTTTTTGATAGTTTACGTTGCCGATGCGCATCAGCAGTCATAAGACAACACCCACTCAAGGCAACCACACAAAAGAGACGAAACATACACGTGCTCGCTTCTCCGCTGTCGCCACCGTGGTCCTGCGACAACCACTTTTGTGGTTTCTCCTCTACTGCTTCCTTTATATTTCCTTTCTCCATCCTTTTTTCCTTGTTCTTGGCGCTTGCAGTGAGTTCGATCCGTGCTGAGGTGTTCACTGCTGCTTCTCTCTTCGCTATCGAACCTGTCTTGTCTATCCCCTTTGACCGCGTCGATCCTGCGGCGAGTACGAAAAACAAAAACAACAACACCGTTGTGACGCGGAGGTCGTTTCGTGGTGGGGGTAGGGCAAGGGATCCAGCACCGGGTCTCGCAGGATTTACGCACACATACATAAATAGCTAATAGGAGGTTTCAGCGTTGGGCCGCTCGTGTGTGTGACGCGATAGGAAATCGGCTGTTGTCGCTGTCTCTGGGTGTTCACAAAAAACCCTCCCAATTCAATAAAGCGGATTATTTTCTGTTTAACCGCCTTCCCACAATACCTTAAAAGAAAGAGAGGGAAAGCTTGAAGAATGGGGCTTTTAGGCCTGCGCAAGTTCATTGACTCGTGCTGGTGTACGCGGCTGCTGCCGGTGCCGGTGAGCGACACAGAGGCGCAGGCCGAAGCACTCCGCCGCCTGCGCGTGGAGGGCTACCGCGATGTGGTGGGCGACGAGGACGACGAGGGCGATGGAAATGGGGAGGCAAGCGGTGCGCAGGGCGTGTACGTGTCGGGCAGCGGCCGTGGCAGCGAGCGCAAAGGCACCGGCCAACACGGCTTAACCTCCTCCACGCACGCCATCGGCACCACCGCGACGCCCGTCGTGGATCACGTGCTGGTGGATATGAACTGCATTGTTCACGCGTGCTTCCACCACCAGAGCTCGGAGAACAAGACCAAGAAGCAGCTCATCCAAGAGGTGCTGGAGCGTCTGCGGGTGCTGCTGACTGAGGTGGTGGTCCCCCGCCAGTCGCTGAGTCTTTGCTTTGACGGACCAGCGCCCATCGCGAAGCTGCAAACGCAACGGCTGCGACGGCGCAGGGTGGGACTGCTGGACACGGGTGGCCTCCAGCAGCTCAACACGCTCGCCATCACGGCCGGCTCTCTCTTCATGATTGAGCTGGAGAACGCGATTGCCGCGCAGTTTAAGCTGAACCACGGCCGCGGCTTTCTGCGGCGCCTGTGCCCGGTGTACTTGTACGGGACGACCGTAATGGGCGAGGGCGAGGCGAAGATATCCCGTGCACTGGCGTTTCTCGCCTACGGGCCCATCGCTAAGACGGACACCAACGCGGAAGGCGGTGGCGATGCAGGCGGTGATGGAAATCGCGCCCATCGTTATCGCGGTGGTGGAGGTGGAGGCGGTAATTACAGTCATAAGTTTCGATCGAATCACACCGCGGCCTCCTCTGCTGCGGCTTCCACCGGTCACCACGCTGCCCCTACCAACTATCCCCACTACTGCCCTGACGATTCGATCGTGGTGTTGGGCAACGATATCGATCTCGTTCTCACGTGCCTCGGCGCCACCGCGTACCACAACCTGAGCATCGTCAGCCCGTCATCTCTGCAGCTCATTCGTGTCTCGGACATCATCTACCGGTGGCTGAAGACGACCTCCGCTACGCGCGGCGATGCCCCCTTCTCCCCCGCCCAGCTCCCCTCTATTCGGATTGACTTCACATATTTGTTCTTGCTGAACGGCGGTGATCACTACGTCGGCGCTGGCGAGGTGGCGATGTCGCTCTGGAAGCGCTACCGCAGTGTTCGGGCCACCTATCCCTACAGCACCCTCGTCTCACCCAACATGGATGCCATTGACGTGGACTTCTTGGCCGACGTTGTCGAGGCCTCCGAGTACACGGGCTCCTCCAGCGTGGAGGTGGGCGTGCACCTGCTGCAGTCCGCGCTGTGGTCGCTTTACACCGTCGTCACGGGTGTCTGCCCCGACTACAACTACGTGCCGGAGACGGAGGCGCCGCTGCTGTGCCATCTGCGGGCGGCGGCGGCGCACTGCCAGCGCACGAACCGCGGCATTCGCCTGACGAGCTTCGACCTCAAGTCGCAGCCTCTCACGCCGCTGGAGACCTACGTGGCGCTCATGCCGACGGAGGCGACGCTGCCCAAGAGTGTGGCGGCCGGCCTGCGCAGCAAGCCGGCCTACCAGTCCATCTTGAAGACCCTCGAGACGAGCAACGATACAGCGATGATCGCCCAGGCCGCAAAGGACGCGGTGGAAGTCTCAGACCCGTTTCTCACGACGAGTGAGCGGTACTTACGCCACTTCACGTCCCCGGTGCAGCTGAACGTCGTGCCGCCGCGTCGACGCCTCAGCCGGCACGAGCAGCACCGCATGCTGGCGACGCAGGGCCGCATCCAGGTGGAGGATCCGGTCCCGGTCGTGCAGCCCATTGCCATGGCGGAGGAGGTGCCGTACATGGATGTGTCCTACCCTGCACACACGTCCTTTCTCGATTTCTACTGCCCCTTCGACGCCCGCATCAACGCCGAGGAGGAGGCGGAGGGGACACAGGAGAGTGAGGAGCACCAATACAACGGCAGCGCGGTCACCAGAGCCACCGCTACCACCGTGCAAGGACGCGTCGTCTCCACCCGGCCGTCGCTGCACGCCACTGCGGTCACCGCCGGTGCAGCGCACTTTCAGCCCAACAACTCGAAGGCGAACACCGCTGCCGACAACGGCGGCGCCGTGCACAAACGCGTCTACCTCTACCAGGAGGAAGCCGCACAGCAGCGGCACGAGCGAGAGCGGCAGAGCGCCGCCTCAAAGCTGCAGCGCGCTCTTGCTGTCACAACGAATATCCTCCAGCGAGGACAGCACTTCACCGCGGCGCAGGAGCGGCAGATGCGACGCAAGTTGGAGCGTCTTCAGCAGGCCGAGACGACCGAGATGCGGTCCCGACTGGCGAAAGAGGATCGTCACCACGCCGTGCGAGGTGGCGACGACGCCGACGACCTGGAGGCTGAGCTGCGACGCTTTCTGGGTGAACACGCCTCGTCTACCGATGTGCAATCGCTGCTGGCAGCGGCGCCAGCGCCAGCGGGGACCGCGAAGAAGGGGAGGAAAGGGCTGGCGGTAAAGGCAGCAGTGGGGCAGCTCGTGAAGAAGAGCACGGCGAGCAGGAAGTCGCCGGACGCGGGCCGCACCGCGCACACGGCGGCCGGCGCTGCGGCGACGAGGAAGCCAAAGCGCAAGCGAGGTGATTCGACGCGGATGCGCGACGCGGAAGGACACGACACCGTCCTGTCTATCACAGGAGACGTTTCTTCTGGACTGCGATGGGAGGATCGTGAGCGGGGCGCCGAGAGTGGCTCGAACGAGCGGCCGCTGAAGAAACAGAAGAGGAAACGTTAAGACAAAAACAGGCGCAGCGTTGTGATAGGGGTTCGCCAAGCTGCTCCTTTATAAGGTTCATAAGCAGTGTGCTTTCGGGACATCAAGGCGGTAAGAGTGGAGGAAGAATAGGGATGGCACTGCTGCGGAGCGTGCTGTGCTGGCTGAAGAGGGAAAACGATTGGTGACTGCGTGTATGTTGATGGATGGCGAGGACGGTATGGTAAATAATAATCTTAAGTTGGCTTGGCGGGCTTTTTCCTTTCTTTCTGCCTGCAAGTGAATGGAGTGACTACTTGTAGTTACATCCGTGTGTGTGTGTGTGTGGGCACGACTCGGAGTTGTCGGTGGGGTCTCGCGCACATCCGCTTCCAATCTGTTCTATTGCTGTTCGTGATGCTATATAGATGCGCTCTACTCCCTCTTCTTTTTGATTCTTTGTTGGTGTTTAATTATGGGGTTTTTTTTTCTCGGAGATAACATAGAAACGTGATACGTGTCGTGCTCTCCGGCAGCTACGACGGATCTTTTCTTCTACGGCTAAGGTATGGACGCCGAATATAATAATACGCACTTTGTCGGCAAAGCCGCACGACGACAAGCTGTTGTTTTTACTGCTCCTCCCCGGGGAACCGCAACCACAGCGGAGGGAGTGATTGAAAGCAGTGCTCGTCAACGAATGACTTGGTGCACGGGTGCTTTCAAGGAAGACAATTGCTCTGCCTTCCTTTTTCTTTTCTGCGGCTTGATGAGGGAAGTTGAGAGGCGCTTCCTGCGTCATTCAAGAAAAGCTTGCAGTGCTACTTCGTCTTTCACCACGAATCATATCTTGGGTGATGGACGCCCAAGGAGGCGTGAAGGAACCTTTCACTTTTCTTCCTCGCCTCGTCTCCCTCTCATGCGGCTCCTTCTCCGTTCGTGCCGCTGCTGCTATGAAGAAGAAACGCGGTGTTTTTGTTTCTGTTTCTTTTTCGCCTTTGAGCGACGTCTCGTCTCTTCTTCCGAGCGTGCAGCCGAGCACGAACTGCGGTGTGCAAACCCCCCTCAAAAGAACCCCTCCAAAACACACACAACACAAATCTCCCACAAAAATTTCACGACGATTCCTTTCTGCAAAGGAAAATAGAAAATAAATTGTTCGTTGTGAGCGCCGCGGCGGACGAGCTGCGGCATCTTCGCACTTTGGCCGCTTTACAAGTATCTCCTGTTTTTGGCTTTCGCTGCCGTTTTATTTTTATCTCCTTGCTTCTGCATCTTCCGTTTTGCTGGTACGTACGCGTGTGCGTGTGCAGCACCCGCTGTGGCGGTCCCTTTCACATTTCCTTACACACCGTCAAAGGCGAGACCGCAAGCATCATCTTGTTTTAGCCCCCACCCCTCCTTCCAATGGACAGTACAACCGCACTTCTTAGCGAACGCACAACGCCAAGCCCAATGCGCACCACCGATGAGTCAGCTGGAAAGCCGCGCACTTCACTTCAGCGATCAACGACACCGGTCAGGACAAAGAAGAACGCACCGACGAAGCTGACAGCAGCTACGATGGCGGTTGCTGAGGCGGCTGGAGAGCGCGCCAACACGGCCGCGCCGTCTCCCACAAAAGGCAAACGAAGGAAGGTGGCGAAGTCTGCGTCCGCGGGTCCGCCGGGCGGCCCCAAAGCGGCACCGGCTCCATCGTCGCCCCCGCCGCCATCGCCGCTGTCTTCGCAAGAAAGAAGGGCGGAGGCGGGCACGCCAAGTGCACCCCCAAAGCAAGTAAAACAGCTGCCATTCGAAAAGGGCAGTGAGACGCCGACGAAGACCGCGGTGGGGACGGGGGGGACCTTCGCGGAGACGCGCCGTTCGCTGCCTCCTGAAGACGCCGACAACGCGAGCACCGATGACTTGGATAACACCAGCACGTCCAGCGTGTCGGACAACTTCTCCGACGGCGGCATCCGCAGTGGATCGGTGCGTCGTGCGCCGGAGCTGGTCACCTCGCTTGCCGGGAAGCGACACACCAAGATTGTGATGAGCCCCCCCAGTGCGCCGAACAACGGCGGCGTACTCGGCAGTCTCGGCGGCCCTACGGGTAGCAGCGGCACGCTGAACGGCCGGGCCGTCGGTGCAAGCGGGCGTCGTGGTGGTCCCTCTGGTGCCCTCGGCAGTGTGAGCAGCGGTGGGGCAAATGGCCATCACCACTACGATACCACGCTGCGCTACCGCACCGACTTGGACAAGCAGGTGATTCACTTTATGTTTGAGCGCTACGAACAGGAGCAGCTCTGTCCCACCGTCTCTTACCTCTCCACGAATGCAGGGGAAGGCGTGCAGGGCGGCGGGGGGAGTGAGGAGTCGCCAGGAGAGTCGAGCCACGGCATCCCCGTCAATAGTAGCGGCAATGAGAACAGGAATAATGCTGGTACTGCAAAAGCGTCGCTTCCGCTGTCCTCCGCCACCTCCTCACCATCCCCACCACCACAACAGCCGCCGCCACCGCCATCATCATCTTCGTGTTCGTATGGTCTTCCTTCCGGTGCACCGCCACGCCCACGCCGCATTGCAGTGGAGGAAGTTTTTGTTCCGTCCAACGGTGAGGGCGACGACCGCAACATCGGCCTCGGCGACTGGCACTTCTTCTGGATGCACGTCGGCCGCGTGCGACACACCATCTGCTCCAGCGACTTCCGCTGGCAAGATCACCAGATCATTAACCACTTCCCCGATCACGCCGAGCTGACGCGCAAGGACCTGATGTACAGGAACATCAAGCGGTACCTGCGCGAGAATCAGGCGAACAGCTACGCACGTCTGACGCTGCAGACGGCCACGGACTGGGTGTCGGCCGCCGCCAACGCCGCCTCCGCCTCTGTTGCGGTGGCGACGGGAGGCGGTGAAAGCGGTGCCATGGTCTCTCCCACCGCCGCCGCCCTTGCTGGTGCGGCCACCCCGCCTCCCCTGAGCAGCGGAGCCGCTCTCCGCACCAAAGCCTTCTGCTTCGCGGACAGCGTGCCCATCACGTACAACATACCCAATGACATGAGCATGTTCAAGGAGGAGTGCCAGAAGCAGCGCGGCACGCAGTGGATTGTGAAGCCCACCTCGCGCTCGCAGGGCAAGGGAATTTTTATCATCGACGACGTCCGCGCGCTGCAGCGGTGGGTCAAGGAAAAGAAAGAGACGGAGAACATGGCTTCTTTTATGGCGACGGGGCCGGCGAACCGCGCGTCGTGGGTGGCGCCGTCGGCGCTGCAGATACAACGTGCCGCGCAGCAGACGCAGCTGGAGGCGGCGGTGGCGGCGATCAACGCAGCGCGTTCGCCGGCCAGCCCACGGTCGCCGAACACCACCACAGCAGCAGCAGCAGCAGTAGCAACAGCCACCGCCACAACCACGAACGGTAACGGTGGTCCCTCAAACCCCCCGGCAACGTCATCTGCACCTGTGGCCGCAGGTGCCAATAGTAGTACTAATACTAATAACAATAGTAGCAGCAACGGCACCGGCGCCGGTGGTTTAGGTGGCTACATTGTGAGCCGCTACATCTCCAACCCACTGCTGATTGGAGGAAAGAAGTTTGATCTGCGTCTCTACGTGCTTGTCACGTCGTACAAGCCGCTGGTGGCCTACCTGCACGAGGACGGATTTGCGCGGTTCTGCGCGACGCGCTACAACGGCCGCAGCCTGGCCCAGGAAGACCTCGGCTCGCACCTGACGAATGTTGCGCTGCAGAAGGGCGATGAGCACTACAACACCTCCCACGGCGGGAAATGGTCGTTTCAGAACCTCTTTCTCTATGTGCAGAGTCGCTGCGGCCCGTACGCGGCGGAGGGGATGATGAAGAACATTCAGTTCCTGATCTACCACTCGCTGAAGGCGGTGGAGCCGGTGATGTTCAACGACAAGCACTCCTTTGAGCTGTACGGCTACGATATTCTGATTGACGATCAAATTAACCCGCATCTTATCGAGGTTAACGCATCACCCTCCATGTCCACCACCACGGTGTCCGACCGGCTGTTGAAGGAGCAGGTACTGACAGATACTCTGAAGATCCTTTTCCCTCCTGGCTTCCCAATGAACAGCAAGGCGATGCCGTACTGGGAGTACCGCCTGCGCACCGACCTCACCACGAAGCAGCAGACCGGCTTCAAACTGCTACAGTTTTGAGGATCTCACCAAGGAGAGAAAGGCAGCAAAGAGAGATGCTGTGCAGCTGCCCTGCTTGTTCAAGCTACCTTCACTCGTCAACAAAAAAATAAACAAGTAGATGATCATATTATTATTATTTTGCCACAGAAGCAACCAAACAAAATCAACTAGGTGTACCTCCTCTTTCTCTTTTTCTCTTTTACGAGATGAACAAAGAAGAGATGTTTTGCTGCGTGTTTGATGTGCAATACGGCCGGTGAATGGACATCTCCATCACCTCAGTTGTGTCGTTCACCTCATGCAGCGACGAGAGGGGCATTTCAGTAAGGAAGCGTGTGCGAGTACACCCCGTGCATCGCTCACTTCATGTGCCCAAGCGCACAACAGCGGCGCATGCGCGTGCCCCCCCAAAAAAAAACCGCTTGCGACTTGGACCCATGAGAAGCTATGCCTGTTCCTCTCTACTCAGTTTTTTTCCCTTCGTCTTCTTCTTTTTCTTCCCCCCTTTTTCTGCTCTTTAATCAACCGCTATTATTGCTATTATTATTGTTGTTTTCCAGCAAGAGAGAAACACCTGTAGCTGACACGTTCCGTCGCCACACAGTACAGCTGTGTCTGTCGTCCAAGTGCGGTTGCGCTGAGCGTTTGGTGTTCCTCCGCGTAGAGCTGTTCTCTCTCGTCTCCGCTCTCTTTCTCTCTCAGTGATTAAAGAAAAAAGTTCCTCATTTCGTTGTGACGAGTACACGCAGCTAAGTCGCCCCATCAAAAACGAATAATAAAAGGATTTATCGACACTTAAGCTGAAGCACAGAGCCCGCATCCTCTAGTGGACTAGTGTCTAGGAATTGCATAGTAGTGTTATCGTAGAAGTCGTCAAAAGACCAGCATTCATATCTATCTATATATATGTATTTGCTCATATTTAGCAACAACAACAAAAACCCTTTATAAGCTCTATTTTTCTCTTCTACATAAGTACGCGGCGTACCAGGTACCAGTGCTTTATATACACACATATATATAAATACACATACATACATATAATATATATATTGCACGTGTCATACGCACTTTGCGTATCGAACTCCGTTACGTCGACGGCACACGAGTGGGGCTTTATTGAAAACGTTACTCTTCTCTTCTCTTCTTTGCGTTTCTTCTCCGTCCTCTCCCCCCCTCTCTCTGTCGCCGTCTTTCCCATTCTGCGAGCTTTTTCTTTTCTGACTTTTACTTTGATTTCGTGCAGGCGACAAACAACTTTTTTTTCTTCTTACACTCGCGGCTAAATTCATCTTTCTCTTCTGTGTTGGGCAGGCACCGTGGCGTCGCGTCGCTGGCACATTTACGCCGCTCCTTCTGAGCCGGTTTCTTATTTTCATTTTATATCTTCTGCTCCCCATCTTGAGTCGTATGACGAGTACTGTAGGTGTTATAGAGTCTTCTTTGTTTTTCTCTTGATAACGCTTCTTGTTGAGAACATGCGGAGCACAGCAGTCGTTCGTGCGGTGTGTGCTTCGTCGCGGACGTGTCGTGAGTGGCTCAACTCGAAGAGTGCGTACACACATCGTATGGACAACGTGGTCCAACTTGCTGTGCCTACGGCGCACCGCGGCACTGCCCCTCGCTGGCACCGCACACTGGCCCTGCATGCGGCGAAGGACGCACATGTTGGGCGAGTGCACTGCACTCCCCGACGCACCTTATTTAGAGGCTGGAAAGCGGTCGATGTACGCACGGAGGACGCCGCCAGTGCGGCTGACACGCGTACCGACGCCGTGTCGCATGCGCAAGCGGGGGAGATGAGGGACGGTGCTGCCGCTGCTACGCGAAATGAAATCACCCAGCTACGCCAACAAATCGTGGATTTGAAAGAGGCCCTCGAAGCGAGTCAGGAGACGGTGAAGCAGCTCCTGGTGCTGACCTCTGCGCAGAAAGCGTCAGGCGATGTGGCTGCCGCCGCTGCTTCTGCCGCTGCTGCCGTACCGTGCGGCACGCCAGGCCGTCCCTGTGGCCCGTGCGGCTATCCGGCGGAGGCGGCAAAGAGTGCGCGTGGTGCGTGCTACGTGGTGCGTACCAGCGAAGAGCTCGTCGATGCGCTGCGGGGGCGTGGCAGCGAACACGCCTCCCGCACGATTCTGCTCGATGGAAAACTCTTTCTGCTGGACATGTATGGGAAGGTTGAGGTGGATCAGGCCCGCGTGTCCGTCGTGGGCAACAACGCGACGGTGATTGGGCACATCTCGGTGAGGGGCCGCGGTGCGGTGCTGGCGGCCTCGGACGTTTTCTTTCTCTGCCCCTACGACATACAGCTGCGCCTCTCGGGGGCAAGCAGTGGCGGCGGCACCACCACCACCGTCAATGCAACAGGACGGAAGGAGGGAGAGAACTATGCGAACCTGACGCCGGTGATCGGCGCCACCGCGGGTGCCGGGGTCCACCTTGACCGCTGCGTCTTGAGCAACGGCCGCGATGGCGTCTACCTGGGCATGGGCAGCCACTGCACGTTGAAGCGGGTGCGGATCGTCAACTGCATTCGAGGCCTGTACGAGGGCGTCGGCTGCCGCACCTCGATGGTCGATGCGTGCGCCTTCCAATCGAATCGGTACGACATGGTGCTGCTCGGCCCCGGCGGTGCGGAGCGGGCGCGGCGGCTCTTCCAGAAGATTTCACCGTCGAACGCGTACGGAGAAAACTTCACCGCGTCGTTCTCGCCTGACGCGGCCGTGGCGGACGTGCTGGCGCCGGACGTGACGGCCGCGTCTGCGATTGCACTGCAGCAGAACAAGGCGCAGGTGGTGCTGCAGCACAACCCCATTACGGATATTTACGAGGATTGCTGGGTGGACGGGCAGCAGGTGCAGCTGTCGGAGGTCGATGCGACGGCGGGGCTGAGTGATCCGGTCTTCTAGATTTCCCCTGGCTCCTCTTCCTTCTTTATCTTTGTTTCTATTATTGCTTTACAGTGTGCCGCTGTGCAATCGAAAGAAATACATGGCCAAGCCCTACCATTCTTCTTGATTTCTGTGCCTGTGGTGCGTATGAGGGAGCTGCACTGCCAGAGACGCAGAGCAGCGTGTGTTGTCTGGCGTGCTTGAACAGTGACCTGGTGCGACTCTTTCTTCATTCCTGTTATTTTGTGGTCTCGTTCGCGTCCACATGCGCGAAAGCGCCAACCCGCTTTCTTTCTCGTTCAAAGCGATTATTTTTGAAAGCAAAACAATAGAAGTGTGCTTTCCTTTTATCGCCATCTTCCTGTGCTTCCGCCAACTTTTCGCCGTCTCCCTCCGTCAATGGCTTTCAATGTCTTATTTTTTTTCCCCTTTACTTCGCTGAGAGATCTGTCGCAGCGCATTACAGAAGCGAACTTCATTAACTTCCTCGCTGAAACGAAAATCCAGCGGAAAGCAGCTTTCCACACTCCCCGCTTAGAAAAAAAAAAGAATACTCCATTGAGTAATACACTGAAACACACATCGAGAGAGAGAGAGACAATCAGCTCCTCGTTCTCCGTACGCCCCTTCCTTCTGACGTTTCGCCTCCTCACAGCGTAGATGTCCGGCAGCATCGTTGAAGTGCGTGGGACGGCAGCGCCGCCTTCCTGTGACAAGGCAGTCGCGCCGTCCCCTACCAGCGCCCCCGCACCGTGCTGCCCAAAGCGTTGCCGAGATGGCGCGAAGAGCGACCTCTCCTTCACGCCCTTTCGAATGGCGGAGAAGAAGTACAAGCTGTACGAGCTGTCGCGGCGTGAGGCACGACGCCAGCCGACGCTGCCGGAGACGGACATGACAGACGTCGTCGATCTGCGCCACCTCGATCACAACACGGAAGCCAACACCCGCATGATCCACAAAGTGGTGGTGCCCGCGCTGCGTCCCCGCAACGAAAGCGTCTCCCCGCACGCAGAAACAAATGCCCGATGCCGTGCAACGGCGGGATCGTCTCTGAATCGAGGCAGTTTCAGCGCCGATGACAGAGCGAGCGATGATGTCGTGTGCTACACCTTTGCCGGCGTCCCCGGCCTCCTGCTCTTTCCCGGGGTGCTGAACGCGGAGGAGCAGCAACGGTGGTGCAAAGAGTCCATTTTGGAATTTGGAGACTCTGCCGTGCATCCGAATATCATCAGCACTCACGCCAAGACTCCACACACGACGACGTGCTACCAGCCCCCGATGCGGTGGGCAACGCTCGGCTACAACTACGAGTGGACAAACAAGGTCTACCACCGCGACCGCTTTTCGCCTTTTCCGGCCTCTCTGCGTCGGCGCATGTGCGACCTTGTGAGCCTTGTGGCTCAGGTGAAGCAGGACGGTTTCTGCTGCGCGTACCCCGAGGTGTACGAGCCGCAAACCGCCATCGTGAACTACTACCCTGTGGGATCCATGATGATGTGCCACCAAGACATCAGCGAAGAGACGCTGGAGCAGCCGCTGATGAGTCTCTCGCTGGGCTGCTCGGCGATTTTTCTAATGGGGACGCAGTCTCGCGAGGACGCCCCGTACGCGTTTATGCTGCGCAGCGGGGACATGGCTGCGTTTACGGGCCCCTCTCGCACCGCCTTCCACTCCACACCGCGTATATTGGATGACTGCCCTTCGTACTTGACGTTGTCGGACGAGGAGATGACGCAGGTGGAGAAGCAGCGATACCAACAACACGCGTACTTTGCGCATCCCACGGCGGATGGCAGCTTCGTGCCGGTGGACAAGACAGTGATGACAGCCGAGGAAAAGGAGCGCTACTGGCGTCTGTGCATGCGTCACATGCGAGTCAACATCAACGCACGGCAGGTGTACGGTGAACGGTGCGAGGCGGTGTTTGGTGGCGCGCCAGTCGGAAGGAATGGGCGGCTTTAGCTGCTCTCTTCTCCTCCTCTTTTGTTTCTTGCACGCGTATCGAGCGAGTTCGCTCGTGATTGAACAACAACAGTAAGAAAGGTGCTCTTGCGCCATCACAAGCACCGGCCGTCGCGACAGCGCATCAATCAGAGAACGACACATACAAGTTTTGCTTCGCGTGACTTTCTTGTTCCTCTTCTTTTTTTTTTGGATTTCCAGTCAAATGGAAGCGCCTACCCTATGAGACTCTATTGAGGAGTGTTCAGCCACTTGAGAGGGCGAAAGGAAAAAGAATCGTTGTTGACGCACTTCTTGGCAGATACTTCTCTCTCCAGCAAGTCCGAAGGGAGAAAATCTGTACTGACCCTCAATCGCAGAAGCAATGCCACGTATCCCAAGCCGTGTTGCGTCTTTCCCCCCTCTCTCTCTCTCCCATAATAGATTTATCTCTCCTTTCTCCTCTTTCGCATGCCTTTTCGTTTCTTCCCACCCTGCCTTGACTTCTCTGCTCGCAACGCCTGTGCTTTGCTTTTTGTTTCTCTTCAAACAATTGAGAGAGCTGTACCGTTGTATTCCGTTTTGTCATTTCTAACAGATCCTATCGACTCGAGTCCGCTGCTTTGATTCGCGTCCTTGGTACGCATCGCTACGTCATAGACGCTCTTATTCTCCTCCTTCAGCGCCGCTCTTTTCTTCATCTTAAACTTCTTCGTTTCCATTTTCCACCTTTCACCGCCGTGCAACCATGTTTCTCGAGATTCTTGTCGACCCGATGGTGATCTTCTGCGTGTCGTGCATCCTGACTCCCCTCGTCATGGTGCGCGACACCCTCACGCCGGAGATGGTGACGGCGTACTTCTCAGAGCCGAGCATGGCCGCCTCGCTCGCCGCTGTGCCCCTTGCGTGGATCATCGGTGCAATGTGGCGCTCGCAGGTGCGCAAGTCGGTGCAGAAGCGCAAGGCCTATCAGGAGGAACACATAAACCAGATGGAGCCCTACGAAATGGTGAACTACGACGCGATGGTGGCCCCGCTCACGTACGGGGAGCGCACGCGTGCGCGATGGTACCTGCTGAACGGCATTATTATTCACATTTTCATGGATGGCTGCATCGGTGTGTTCAAAACGAATAAAATGATGGCAGACAACTACGCGAAGCTCGACAAGCGCTACGGCGACCCCCTCGGCGACTTCAACGGCTCGGCGGTCCATGTGGTGTCGCTGATGGAGCTTTTTGTGAAAGGTCCGCTGTGTGTGGTGCTGTACTGGGCCTTCAAAGTACGCCACCCGATGCGCGATGCGCTGGAGTTCTTTACGTGCGTGACGCAGGTGTATGGCACGATTGTCTACCTGGGGCAGGAGGCGATCAGTGGCGCGCCGAACCTGGATGTGGACTACGAGCTGAGCTTCTCGCCGCACTACCTCTTCTACTTCTGGTTCGCCGTCATCTTTGGCTGCGTGCTTTACCTGATTGTACCGGCGGTGCTGGGCTACCGCAGCTACGTGCGGCTGTGCCACCAAGCAACCTTCTACCTGCGTCATCATTACAACGGCGTGAATCGCCACGGTCGTCGCAGCCACGTCGTCCCGCACTGATGCGCACTGGATCCTGCAGCTTTTCTTTTTTCTGTAATAATCGTGTTGCGTCGTATCGCAGAAGAACGCACGCCGGTATTTGTTTTCCTTTTTTGAGTATTTTGGCTGCATCTGTTCTTCGACGGGTCACGTTGAGCCTAATCGCACGCGTGCGAATACTGTCAAATGAGAACAAACGCAGGTGCCCCTCCCCCCCCCCCCCACCACCCACACCCACACGCCACAGTGAGCGACAGCTTTGTCGATGGGCGAGTTTGCTGTCGATCGTGATGTGGACCACTGGAGATGCGCTGCGCAGGCGGTAACGCCAATGGTGTTCGTCTCGTTCGCTATGCACCGTCTGGGGGCGCCCTTCAAATTGGGTCTGCCCGACTGCTTCCTTTATGAAGTACTCCTCCCTCCCGCGTATGCACCAACGCACTCTTCTGTCCTTCTTGACGCATCTCCTTCACTTTCACTTTACCTTTTCTCCCCTCCCTTCTTTCCGGTTCTCCCCACACACGTGCAAAACGTCTTCAACAGCAGCAGCAACAACAACAAAAACTGCGGCAAGCGGATGCGGTGAGTCGTGTCACACAGCTGAAAGTGAAGGGAAAAGAAACATAATAATAATAGTAGAGGAAAACGCCGCTTTTTGGTTGTGCCGCGGCCCCGGCATGCGCACGACCTTCCGCTGCGCTGCACCGCAGCTGACGCGAGCGGAGAAGAAGTTGACACCGCTCCGGCGGATGATGATGGAGGCAATCGTTTTGAGCCCAACGAGCACGGCAGCAGGCACGGCGGCGCGGGATTCCGGCATTGCGGCCAAAGGGTGCTCCACCGAGTGCACCTCGGTCTTCGCGACGCCGCCGTGCGAGATCTTCGAGGGCAACAACAAGCAGGCCTGGATTGATCTTCGCCAAGGCTACTGTCACCTCTGCCAGGAGCCGATCGGCACGAATGCGGGGACGCACATCGGCGAACGGGACCACACGAACATGCAGTTTTTCTTGCTCCTCTACACGGCCTACCCTCGAAGAGACTGCATGGCGGAGGCGCTGGCTGCTGGTACGGCGGGGGAAAGGGCGGGGTTGCTATCATCCGATATGCTGAGGGGCGAACCGCCGCAGGGGCACGCTGATCCATCGGGCGCCGCTCCCGCTGCCGCGTCGTCGTCCTCTTCCGCTTCTGCACCGCGTGCGACTACTGCATCCGCAGAGCCCTTCGACACGTCCGCCGTGGCATCTCTGTTTACAGAAAGCGGTCGCTGCTGCGGCAGTCGCGCATCGCCACCCACCTTTGTCTCGCGGCTTGCAAAACACGACGCCGCTCTCTGGAGGGCTGACGACGTATTGCACGGCATTGCCGCCCTCAGCCCGTCGCTGCGCCGCTTTGCGACGGACCACCGCACCACCGATCAGCTTCACACCATGGACGACGCCACCCGTCGCACAGAGCTCGAGGCACTCCTCTTTTACCTCACCCACCCGCCGCACCAAGCACTGCCGCACGTGCTGCAGGGCACGAGTGCGTACGGTTTCTCGCACAGCGGGGAGCGGATGTTGAAGTACGAGATGACGCGCCTCATTTCGCAGGTTTTCCCGCCCTTGTCGGCTGGCATGATGACCAACTTTACGCAGAAGTGCTGGGGGCGAACGAATGAGGAGCGGCTCTACGATGCCTTGCGTCTGCAGCGCATAAAGACGTACTACGGCTGGGGCCCGTACGCGAGTAAAGAAAAGAAAGGTTTCTTTATCCGCCAGCTCATCTATGAGCTGATGCTGTCCGAGGTGCGGCCGGAGCTGTCAGAGACGGGGAAGCTGCTCGCTGCGCAGGCGGTGCGTCGCATGGCCTTCGAGCTGGTCTTTCTCTTGTCGATGGATTACATGCACCGGGTGCAGCGTGTGCATGAGTTGATGGGCCGCCCGACCTTGGAAGAGCTGAGGGCGCTTAATCTTCTGTGATTTGCTTGTCTGTTTCTTTGCTGCCCTTGTGCCGTTGAGTCCCCTCTGTTTGCCAGTAGTCACACACAAACACACGCACACACGTGTTCTCCTCTTCTCTTTTTCTCTTCTGTTTTGGCGTAGGGGGAGGGACTGCGCCGTTGTGCGAGTGCGTGTTTAGCCCGAGAGTGCGCACGACATCGCTTCGCAGGAGTGCGCTGGAGACGCAGCGGAACGAAGCGATGACGGAGCTGCGGAGAACGCTTGTTTTTTGTTTCTGGAGAAGACACAATTGCTGTACATTACGGAAGAGGAAAACGCGCAGAGGAGAAAAAGGAGAAATGGCGCTGGGACTGAGTGCGGTGTGCTCCGCGTATTTTTGCGTGGGCGCGGTTGGAAAGTCTGTCGTTTGCCGAATGCGGGTGGCGTCGATCCTTCGAGGCGGGAGGTCGTCACCGTGGTTGTGTTTCCTCTGCCAAGAGAAGAAGAAAAAGAAGAAGAAGGAAGCAAAGATAAATTCTCTGAATCGTTTCTTCTTTTACACTCTTCATCTTCCGCGCCTGCCTCTCTCTCCTTCTATACACATATAAATACTTATACATATATTTTTATGTTCCTGTGGCGACCTTCACGTTGCATCATCGTCGTCATCGTCCACACATTATTATTATTATTATTATTATTATTATTGTTTCACAAACTCCTCTGTGTTACACAAACAAAAACCCACTAACCTTCTCGTGCTCGTTCCACTCCAGCGAACAACGCGTTCCGTACCAGCGGCATCTGAACACAACAGAAGGTTTTTCTTCTCTTCAACCGGTACATTTATATCTTCGTATTCTATTCTCTTCTGGGCACCTTCGACCACTCACGAATCCTTTTTTGCTTTGTGATACTTTCGCGTATTTCGTTGTTTCCTGCTTTCGCGCTGGTGTGACTGTGTGACTCGTCTTTGCCATCGACGAGATCGTCAATACATCTTCTCTTCCTTCTTTTCCTTTTGTTTTTGCGGTTGGGTGCGTGGTGGACGGTAGAGCTCACGCACACGCACACACGCATACGTCTTCATTAGTGTTGCCGTGCATCTTGTGATTTCGGCGAGCGTTTCACAATTCACTTGACTTGACGGTGTAGCAACTCTCTCTCTCTCTCTATATATATAGCCGCAGGCAGCTGCAGCGAACCCAAACAGCCGACCAAACACACAAAAATTTCTTGAGTCCAGAAGAGCCGCTTGCTTTCTTCTTCCAAGGGATTTTTACTTTCTCGTGTTTCTTTCTGTGGTTTTGAGAATACACACCACTCACGCACCCACCGATAAAGCGGTGCAGCAACGGGGAAAGCAACACACAGGAAGTACGCCTCAAAGATATTTCCTGCCACTTTGGTTTGTCAACGGCGGTGTTGTTGCCGCACCGCCTAAGTCCGCCCCTGTGAGAGCGAGAAGCGCGCCACAGAGTAGTACATTAGATTAGAAAAGGCTCCTCTCCGCAACAGAAGACACAGGAGTCGCCCCTTTGCTTTCTGCGCTCCTTCTTCGCTTCTTACAAGTTTTCCATTTTTTCTCTCTGCGCTATTTCTGCCGGTTGTTTTTGTTTTTCTCCCGTTTCCTTGCTGTCGTTGATATTTCGAATCACCTCCTCCTTCTTCTTCCTCCCCCCCCCCCGCTACTTCCAACGTCGAGCGCGCCGCTTTTTCGGCCTTGCGGTCGTGTACTTAAGTAAAAGCGCTTATAAATATTTTCTAAGCTGCTCTCGCCGCGTGTGTACTCAGCTCGTTGTGTCCGTGCGTGTTCGCCTCGCTGCCCGTTTTCTCTGCCGTGAAAAGCCAAGCTGAAAACGAAGAAGACAACTATAAGAGCTGGAGCAGCAGTGATCTTTCTTTCTACTTCTTTGCGAGAACGGGGGAAGAGGGTGACAGGAGGTGCCAGCTTTCGACCCCACACACACCAACAACAACAAAAGAAAAGCGCATTACGAACTGTTGTACGGGAGGCACGCTTTTGTTTTTGTTTTCCTTCTCGGAAATCGCAGCGGCGGCGACTGCGGCTACTCGAGGAGATTTTGTTTTGTTTCCATTTCATTGTTTCTGCTTTCCTGTTAGACGGAAGGCGGGGCGAGCTGCTGGGCGCGTCATCACTGCTGTCTCAGTTATCGTTGCGAGCGACAACCGTCGTGAGGTGGATTCCGTGTAGACGGATAAGCCAAGAACAACATATATATTTCCATGAAGAGCGGAGATAATAGTAATAAGAGACGCTGACTCGATCGATTCATCGTTATTCATTTTTCTTTTCGCCAGCCCTCCTTTTTCCTCTGCTAGATCGCTGTGTTTCTGTGCACCTTCAGTTTGAGTCTATACACTTATATATATATTCTTTGTTGTACTTCACTGCGTGTGTGTGTCTGTTCGCTGCGTACGAATGCACATCCTTGAGGTCAACCACGGCGGTGGCGAGATCCACCGCCACTTTCTCCTGCCCGGCCAGACCTACACGCTGGGACGCAAGGAGTGCCGCATCTTGCTGCCCGCCGCAGAGCCGTCTATCTCTCGGCACCACGCCACCATCGTCGTCTCGCCCATGCCGCGCTGCAGCGTACTCGACCCGTCTGCCCAGCTCGAAATCAAAATCGAAGACGTTTCGAAGCATGGCACCTTCGTGGACCGTGAGCGAGTCGGCAAGGACAACACCCGCTTCTTGTACCCGGAGGACCGCATCCGATTCGGGCTGCGCGTGACGGCGCGGATCATCCCGATGATGTTGGTGGTCGGCATCTCGCCGGATCTGACCGATGAGGGCTTGGATCTCGTGCTGGACGCTGCCGTGCACATCGGTGCCCTTGTGGTGGAGGACGCGATCCCGGCACCGCAGTACTACTACGAGCGCCACACCAACTGCGTCGGCTTCCTCTACGTAGCGGAGGACAACTTTGTGATGGAGGAGACGATGATGCAGGCGCTGGGCTACGGCTACACCTTGGTGACGCCGGGCTACATCGCCCACCTCGCGAAGGCGCTCGAGGAGAAGGAGACGTTAATGCCGAGCGAGTTCCCCGGGCCGTCGTCGCCGGCGCCCGCCTCAGTCGGACTGCGCGCCGTGCACTACCGCCGGCCCGCCCAGACGTTCTTCTCCGTGAGGGAGTTCCTTTCCATCGGCCGCCCCATCGTGGCGAGTGTCTTTCAGGGTTACACCTTCCTCGTGCTGGACGAGGGCGTCGGGGAGGCCTACAACGACGTACTGCAGCTGTTTGGCGGCAAGGTAGAGGCGCTTGCCCTGGAGGCCGTCCCACAGTGGCGCCTCCAGCACCCGCAGACCGGCGCCTACCCCCTGACCACCTGTGCGTTGCTGGCGGAAGGCCACTTCCGTGCGATTTCGGAGACGGTGATGGAGCGCGGCGGCGGTCGCGGCGACTTCAACACCCGACACGACCTCCCGACGTTCGTCGCGTACCTGAGCCTCTACCGGTACGGGGTGTGCTTAATACCAGAGGAGAACATCCACCTCGCGTTGTACCGCAACGATGGCAAGGAGCTGAATACGAAGAAGACCGCGTGCTACCTGCAGCGGACCAGCGAGGACGTCTTGGCGGACACGACACCGGCATCATCATCATCGCCAACAGCCGTGGCAGCGCCATCAGCACCTACAGCAGAGGTGGTGGTAGCATCAGAGCCGGTTTCCCGCAAGGGCAGTGGCCCGTCTTTAGAAGGGGCAGCAGCGGCGGGTCAACGCTGCATTGGCCCGACGCGCGGTCCGCAGTCTCCTCTCACGGCCCCGCCGGCGTCCTCCAACGTGTCGCATCTGGTCTCCGTGCAGGCCCGCCGCTCACGCGAGAACTCCTTCGGCTCAGCCCCTTCGACCAACAGTGCGGAGGGCACTGATAAGTCATCTGCCGCCGCGGCATTCCTCCCACCTGCCTCTGCGAGTAACGCACCGGTAATTGCCGGGCGCAGCCGCTCTCGCGCGGGCAGTCCCGCAGCGGTCAGCGCCCCGCTGCCTGCAGCAAACGGTGCTCCGTCCTCGCAAGCTTCTGCACAGAAGGACTTAGTCGCCCGGACGGCGGAGACAGCCCAGCCGACGGCGGCTCCTGTGGTTGCTGCTGCTGCTGGGTCGCTTCCTTCTGCCACATCGTCATCACCACCGCGAGCGCTCGATGGGGAGGCGCTAAAAGACAGTGCCGCCGCAGCCGTGCCCCCCCTCAAGCCGGTCAACAGCGGCAGCACCTCCACCGCTCCCTTAGACGCCAACTCCGCTACGATATCACCCGCAGAGACGCCGACGGCGGTCGTGAAGCCGTCGACCACTTCCTCAGCAACACTTGGCTCCACCACCGGGGCAGCGCCTTCCCCGGCCGATCACGCCAATGCAGTCACGTCCTCCTCCTCCCCCACCGCTGCAGAGGAGAACTGCTCGGCCAATCGCGAAGCAGCGCTAACAAGCGATTCGAACGCACCGGCGACGCGCAGCCGTCTTTCCGGGCGGCGGGGCTCGCACCCCTTCAGCCTCGTTCTTCGCCCTCGCTACGACAGCGGCGAGCGCACCAACATCGGCAGCGAGGACGACGAGGGAGAGGCGCAGGGCAGCGAAAGGCGGGCGTCGAGTACGGCGGAGATCAACGGAGGCGGAGGAGAGGAAGAGGCACAGGAGGACGGACCCGCAGCGTCGCCGCCAACGCGTCCCACGACACAGTCCTCTGTCCGCCGTGCAAGTGCGAGTCGGCGGCGCCCCAGCCTCGGCGCACCGCCCTCGCCGGTGAATCAATCACTGAAGAACGAGGAGGTGGTGCGGCCCCGGACCCGGGCGAACTCCAATGCGCAGCAGACCGCCTACACCGCCGCCCTCGTCGCGCAGGGCCGGCGGTCGGTCGGGCAATCAGAGGAGCGCCCCCCACTAGCTCCGTCGGAGGAGGGACAGCACCTCATCTCGATGGAGGAGGCACAACGCCGCAGCAGCGGATCGATGGAGCTGAGCAACCCTAGGATGCCACCGCTGCCGCCGGCCACTGCACCGGCCACCACCACCACTACCACCACTACGTCAGCGACAGCAGGAGCGGCGGCCACGGCGGCGGCGTCGTCTGCGCCATTTTTGCAGCGGGTGCAGCCCAAGACCGCTGGCCACACTGCCCCCACTTTCAATTCCGCTTCCACCGCCCCCATCACGACGGCGACACCGCCTGAGTCAGAGAAGGCCGTGGGCAACAACAGACCAGGCGTGACCCCCACCCACGTCTCGGTGCGGCGTGGCGAGCAGCGACTGACCACCGCCGCTTCTGTCCCGACCCCGCGCCGGAGCGTTGTGCGCGTCAACCCGTCTCTCACCAGCGTCCACGTGGAGCGCTCCGCCTCCCCGCCGCAGAGCTACTCCAAGCTGCGGCGCTACACGACGCCCGAGCGCGATGTGGTGGTGCACGGCGCAGTGCAGGTGGCGAAGTCACCGCCGCGGCAACGGGTAGAGGCGGTGCGCATCACCAACGCGGCCTCGGCGCGGCGCACGTCCGTCCCGCGCGACCGCGAGGCGTCCGTCTCCTTTCACGTCGACCCGGAGGAGGCGCCCACCTCGGCTGTTGCTGCCGGTGGTGATGGCAGCAATGGCAGCATGGGCGACCGTCGCAGCGTGCTGCGTCGTGAGTCAGTCAGCGCCGTCAACCGACCACCGCCGGCGAGTGGGCCGGCGACCCGTCGCGCCTCTTCATCCTTCCAGCGTTCCGACAGCGCGCAGCGGCGAGAGAAGGCGACGCCGCTCCGGCTGGGGACGTCGCGTGTCTCGCAAAGTGTGCCGCGGACAGGGACGAAGGTGTACAGCAGTGTGCAGCGGCAGCGCTCGCTGGAGCCGGCGGCGACGACAGCGGAGGAGGCGGAGACGGGAGTGACCAACGTGAGCGGGCTGCCGAATGCGGGGTCGCCGGCAGCAGCGGCGGCGGCAGCAGCGCAGCGCGGGAGCATCCGCCGTCGTCGTGGCAGCCCCATGCCGGGGAACGGCAGCGGTGCTGGACCCTCCTCGCAGGGCCACGCGATGCCTGGTCAAATCCCCGGCCTGCGTGGCAGCAGCAGCAGCGGCAGCGCTGCTCCCCCTGTTCTCGGCGGCCCGAGCAACGCCGCGAACGAGGCGTACTTCGGCATGAACGATGCGCTGAACACGAACTGCCAGGCTTTCATGAAGGAGTTCATCGACGACTTCATGGGCGAGACGGAGCGGGTGACACGGTCGGTGGTGCGGCAGGCGTACATGGACGCGCCGAGCAAGGAGACGCTAGAGAGCGGCGTCGAGCGGGTTTTAGAGTTTCTGCAGTACCTGAACAGCGCGGAGGCGGATATCCCTAGCATGTACAGCACGAGCAACACCCGCGCGGCGTGCCATCAGGTTCGGCAAAAGTCGCAATACACACTGAGCAAGATCAAGGTGTGCTACAAGATGGTGAACTGCAAGATACCGTCGTCGCTGACACGGGCGCGGACGGCGCTGAGCACGCTTAATGGGGTTTCCACACAGCGGCGGTTGAACTCCGTTGCGGTCGTGCCCGAATCGGGTTCCGTGCGACGACAGAATGCTTCGTGAAGAGCTGGCACATGAGTAACGAGCGGGGAAAAAAACGACGGAAGAACTGTATCCTTTGGCGTTAGCTCTCGTCTCACGTGAGGTTATTCTGGGTACTTTGCGTTGTTGGCGGTGCCTCGAGTTGCTGCTGGTACTTTTATTATATATATGCTCTTTTGGTATTCCTTTATTATTATTTTTTCTACTTTTTCGTTAACTCCTCGATCATCCCCAGCAGGCCAACGGCGTTGTGTGCGGCCTTTCGCGATTTGTTCCTCTCTGCAATCCTCTCTTTTCGCGTGCTGAGTCACACCTTTACTGTATATATGTATCTTCATTGCGGACGTTGCTGCTTCCCCTTATCAATGCGAGTTATGATGGTGGTGGTGGCACCCACGATTGGTGGAGAATTTCGTATTTCTCCTTTTAGGAGTTGTGCCTGTGCCTGTGCGGTGGGCTACCTTTGTATCTTTTCATCTACAACGCGCGTAGAAATTAGAAACAGTTTTCCTCCTTTCTATCTCTTCGGCTTTTTTTCGAGTACTTTTCTGAACTTCCTTCCTGTGTGTGTGTGTTTGTGTGTGTGTGTGTGTGATGTGCGCATGTGCGTAAGTCCCTCTTTTGTCCTCGCGTTCCCCCTCCCCCCTTCCCTCCCGGTGGCGCTTCACGACTTGGGTTGCCTGCCGGGATCCGATGGAGCCACGTGAACTGCCGCGCCTTTCGCAACGCGCACGGTGAGAAGCGCATTTTCCCTACGCCAAGCGAAGATATTCATGACTGCGACTCGTCGCCTCATCCGAATATATAAAGAGAAACAACACTGCATAGAGGTTTTTTTTTTTAAAGGGGGAGGGTGGTGGATATTAATGAAAGAACGAACAGCAGCTGCCATCCGAGCACTCGGTGATGCTCCCCACACAGACAGACAAAGACACCCGTTAGAAAACCCCCTTTCTGTTCTCCGCTTCTTTAAATTCCGCACAGCTCAATTCTTCTTCTTTTCGTTTTCTCCACGTGTTCGTTCGTTTTCACGTTTGTGCTTGTGCTTGTGCTTGTGTGCCTCGCATGCGTGTCCGCTTTCTTTTCTAAATCTGCGTGATGCTCCTGCTGGCACCCCTGTTCATCGTTGTCTCTCTCTCTCTCTCTCACCTTTTGAAGTTTTTATCGCCTGCTTCTTCTCCTCCTCCCTCCTCCCTGCAATTTCATGAAAGGAAAAGAAGAAAAGTGCCGTATTGGTTTTTGTAGTCGGGCCTTCAGTTCTCTTTCTTTTTTGTTCTTCTTCTACGTCGCTGATGGAAGTCACAACGCAGCGGTTGCAGTCGACAATCGCCCCAAATCAGCAGAAGAATACCGAAAGGCATATATATATATATTTCAGCTATATATTCCTGCAACGGAGTGACGTTTGCTCTCCCTATCCTTCTTATCTTCATCTTCACCTTCTTTCCTGTTGTGTTGCTACTGGCCGCGTGTGCGTTGCTGTCGTCGCACGCTGCATCGACTTTTTTTTTGTCTTCTCTTTCCGGCCTCTTTGCTTTTGAGAGGGGCGGGGCGGGGTCGCTCTCGAGGATGAAGAGCCTGACTAGTTCTTTTTCGCTGATCCTGACGTGTTCTGCGAAGGAGTTGTGTGTGCACGCGTCTCTGTGTGTTTGTGTTTATATGTGTGTGGGTGTGATGGGCTTCGCATTTCTTGACTGTGCCAAGGTGTCGCACCGCTGCCAATTCAGCTCCTTTCTCTTGTACTTCTTTTCTTTCCTCTTGTATTCGCCATGTGTGCCGCATCACGGCATCTTCGTTGGCGAGGGCCTTTTTTTATGTTGTTGTTGTTTTGAAGAGTCGTTGGGTTTTAGCCTGGATCTGCGTGGTTGCACCTTCCCCGTTGCTGGTGGCGCCCTCTATCGGTTTATCTTGTCCTCTCCGAGCCGGTTTGAGATGACACTCAACGGCAACGGAGGAAAAAAGAAAGCAAAACAGAGCATTGTTGGAGGCCGCTCTCTTAGAAGGTAGAAACGGACAGCGCGTTGTCGCGTCGCCGACGGCGGCTACGGCCAGGCTGTGCGGTTGACAGATCAAAACGAGTGCGTACGAAAGCGCCGAGCACGGCATCTTCTCGGAAGGACTGGCACGTCTGCAGCGGCAATCGTCGCGGCTCGTCATTAGCGTAGTTGCTGTCTTTGTAGCATTAAGCATCTTGTAGTAACGCTAGATGGCGTCCGATGCTTTCTCCATCTCGGCGTCTACGCTGAAATAATGGAATTCAGGGAGCTTAGTTGAGTGCCTTTGGTGCACATTGGCATAAGCCTGCGTGAACACGCCTTTCTCAGCAATCTACACATACGAATATGTTCTACCTCTATCAAACCCCTTTGCCTTAGTCTTCCGTATTGTACGTCTTCATTGCGTTGTTGGTTTGCTTGATAGTACACACACACACACACACACACACACAGATGAGAAGAGCGACGACTGGCGACGTGCAGCGCACCCCGGTACTGCCCAACGCCCCACCAGAGAGCTACCGCGACAGGGTGACATCCACCGTCTCACTCGCGTCTTTGGTGTACCAGCCGTTGCCGGCATCCGGGGCGCTGCTGCGACTTCTGCGCGGGAAGCTGTACGTCAAGCGGAATGTGCGGACCGTTGCCGATGTCATTGCAGTGCCGGTGGGTGCAAGCGCAGGTGGCACGGCGGCACCTTCGTCATCGAACTCGTTTCCTCTGAAAGTTGAATTTCACGCGCCGTCGGCCAGCTTTTCCGCCACGGCAATGAACGACCCGCCAGAGAAACAGCAAGGTGATGAAGCCTCCCCACCCAACGAGGTGAAGGGCTACATGGAAGGTGCATGCAAGACGTGCCTGCTGGAGCCGTCTGTGCTTTCCACCGCGGATCTGTTATCACCTCCAGGGAACGGTGCGGGTGGTGCGGTGTTGGCACAGGCTTGCTCGCCCGTCTACATCCTCGGTGCGGGGGTACACGACAGCGAGGTCCAGCAGGCCTTGGAGTTTGCTGTGTCGACCCGCCACCTTTCCCAAAAGGCAGCGGACCTTCTGCAGTACATCCACCACGAACTTTCCAGCAGCGCCGGTGCGCATACAGGATCAAGTGGACAAGCGAAGAGGCGTGCTCCGTTTGCCGGCCCCCTCCGAGTGTGCTTCGCCACCCACAACGTGGTGCTGACCTACAGCAATTACACGATGCCTGAACTGCTGTCGATGGTGCTGCCGGTGCAGGAGGATGCCGCGGTGGTGGCCGTGAGCGGCTTTGAGCAGGTCGGCTACATCGCCCACGTGAACCTCTCCTCTGCAAACCTGCCCTATGCGCACGTGATTGGTCAGGTCATACTCGACTGCAACGACACCGTCGATGTGGTGGTGAACAAGGCGGCCGCCATCAGCAGCGTGTTTCGCGAGTTTAAGATGGACATCATCGCGGAGCGCACCGCCGTGTTTCAGAGCAACGGCGAGAGAGCACAGGACCGCGCTCCCGCCTCTCCATCCCTGGCCTTGACAGCGGCAGAGAAGAAGTTGCTGCTGGCGCAGGAGGCGAGCACCGACACACCGCCGCAGGAGGCACGGCTCAATCGAATGCTGACGACGACGGTGCGGCAGCACGGCTGCAACTTCCGCGTCCCGTACAACCGCGTTTACTGGAACTCGCGGCTGAGCTACGAGCACACGCGGCTGGTGGAGACGATGCGGCGAGGCGACGTGCTGTTTGACGTGATGGCCGGCGTAGGGCCCTTTGCGGTCCCCGCAGCAAAAAACGGTGTGCAGGTCTTTGCGAACGACTTAAACCCGGTTGCGGCGCAATACATGACGGTGAACGCGGAGCTGAACCATTTGTCGCCCTCCTCGATGCACGTGTACAACCTCGATGGCCGCGAGTTCATGAATACGGTTCTCTTCGAGAGCGTCATGGGCCGAACGACCAGCAGGGACGCGGCGACCGCGGAGCTGAACGGGGGCCGCCGGCACGTCACGATGAACCTGCCTGCGATTGCGGTGGAGTTCCTCAACGTGTTTGCGCCTCTCGCGCCGAAGACCGCCGCCGTGGAGGGCAGCTCCCGCGACGCGGCTGTGAATGCGCGTTGGAACCGGCTCCCCGCCAACGTCGACATCAACGCAGTCGACCGCCGCGTTTTGTTCCACGTGTATTGCTTCTCCGCCGCGGATGATTTGCTGGCGGACGCGGTCGTGCAGTGTGAGCGGCACCTCGGCTACGCGCTGCCGCCGAGGAATGTGGAGGAGGTGGTGATGGTGCGCGATGTTGCCCCGACGAAGCGAATGATGTGTGTCAGCTTCACCCTACCCGACGCCTTTTGGGCCCATTTGGTGAGCTCGACGAGTGCTGAGACGGCCGCTGACGCGCCCGCAGCGGAGCCCGCGGTGAAGAAGGTAAAGATGGACGGTAATCAGTAAAAAAGGAAACGATGAAATACGAATTGTCGTAATCTACACTGCAGAGCGTTTTTGTTTTAGTGCTCAAGTGAAGCAAACCCCTACCCTTTTCTACTGACTTCAAATCCAGCCATCTGGCAAACACTCGTGGTGACGCTTCTAGTTTGCATTATTCCACTGGGGTGTCTTTCAGCATCATTTATATTGGAGTTATGGCTTATGGTGTCTCTGGCGTATTTGGCCGCCGTGGCGCTGCATCGCGTGCTTCTTTTTTTCAAATGCCGCCTTATCTTCCCTCCCTTTCCCCTCCCCTCTCTCCTCACTTTCTCTGTGTCACCTTCACTGCAGCTCTTCTCTCTCTCTCTCTCTATATATATACGTATTCCTTTCTTGTTACTTTCTTCTTTGTTTCCCGTGCTCGAACGGCCTTTCGGAGTAGAAGAGCACCGCCACCTGATGGAGGAGAAGCCATTGCAGTTGCAGCGGTGATTAACGTGAAGTCGCTTCGTGGTTCCACTTGTGTGCTCGTCCAGCGAGAAGGCAGTGTCCTCTCGTCTCAGTGGCGCAGCGAGTGCAGTCTGTATACATATATTAAATTTTTTTTATTTTCCTCATTGCATAAGGTGAAGCCCTCGCATTTGCAAAAGACAACATCAGAAAAGGAAGGAAGTGTTAGAAGATAATAGGCGTGCTGGACTACACGTCTCGCTTTTGAATAGAGTCGATACGTTCAAGGGCCACCTATTCGCTGGAACCCACTTACGATCGTTCTACACAGGTTGTGGAAGAGGAGGGAGGGCAACACCGCGCCGCCTTCCCAACTCGTCTTGGCTCCCCACTCATCCGTTCACCCAACGTAAAACACACCCCATACACTCACGCACTCATTTGAGGGTAGTCGCCTCACGAGATGGCCACCACGGCAGCTGCCCAGCCGCTCCTCTACGGCTGCCTCATCAACCTCTACAAACAGTCCCTCGATGGCTACGTCGTCGCCACCTCGTCCGCCGAGGCCCCGGTGGGGGTGCAGGTCGACTCCCCAGAGAACCCGCTGCGCTACGAGCAGACCGCCTTTCTGCTGCAACGCGGTGATTTGGTGGAGGCGAGTGGGAGCCGGCGGGCGGGCGGCGATGTCGTCAAGTACGGCCACACGATCCGACTTCTCCACTACGCCCATCAGCAGCCCCTGAGCTACCACACAGAGCGCCCTGCCGCGGGGATGAAGGGCAACCTGCGTGCACTGCTGGAGAAGCGCGGAAAGAATACGCTGAAGGTGGAGAAGTGGCGCATTATGCCGCGCTACCGCCTGCGCGTCGAAGGGGAGCCCGTCGCGGACGGAGACCCGGTGGTGCTGCAGGCCGCCGACGGTGATCGCTATTTGAACGTCGCGCTCAACGTGGACGAGGAGGCGGCGGACAATGGATTTCTCGAGGTGAGTGTGGGCGAGGACACGCAAGGCTTTCTCATGTGCCTCTACGACGGCGACACGTCCCCGCAGATGCGGGTGCCCCCGCTGCGCTGCGGCGACTGCGTGACGCTGCTGCACACGGAGGAGCATAAATACATCTTGGCCGACCCAACCAAGAAGACGTGTGTTCTGCGCACCTCCGACTCGCACATGGCAGACGGCGACGGCGCGGCGACCGGGGAAGCCAACGCCAGCGGGGAGCAGGCGGTTGCCTGGTACGCAGCCTCGAAGGAAGAAATCAGCTACCTCTCGCTCTTCGTGGTGGAGGCTGCGGATGCGCGAAAGGGCGGGGCGCTGCGCACTCGCGGTGTACGCGGCTGCTACCGCCTCAAGTCGTTATCCTCCGGGCTGTATCTGCAATGCGGCGAGGTGGCCGCGAGCGCTGCTCCTGCGAACGGTGCGGGCGGTATCCGCGGCAGCAACGGCAGCACCGCAGCGGCGGCCGGCTCCAACATTCTGAGCTCCCCCACGTTCCCATCCGGGCTGACGGGCACGGGCACCAATGCGGACTTGAACGAGCTGAACTCCCCTGCGGGGGCCGCGGTGCCGACTGCGTCCCCGAGTGGCGTTCCGGCGAGCCCTACAGCAGCGGAGGAGGTGATGAGCCCGACGCGTCTCTCTGCCGCCGCTGCTGTGAATGGTGTGCGCGCTGGCGCCGGCCGGCCGGTGCGTCAGACGAAGTACACCGTGTCCCTCACGCCCTCCGCCAAAGCACCGGGGACTCTCTTCCAGCTCCACAGCGCCTCCTCCGGCGACGAGGAGCTTCTGGCAAACGGCGGGCGGGTCTTCTTGAGCTGTGTGAACAGCAAGAACCGCAAAGTGTGGGTCGTGGCGGGCGGTCCGGCGCCGACAGACGGCGACGACTCCCTCGAGGCGGAGACGACCATCGCCTCCTTGGCCCACCACGCCAAGACCTACGGCAGTGTTCTCCTGCTCGGCGAGCGCCAGAAGTCAATGCGCGACGGGATCGAAATGCGCCGACTGCAGCCGAAGGCGCTGGAGGAGCTGTACATGATCCGTGGCCTCCTCCCGCCGCTGCAGAAGTACGTGAAGGAGATGTCAAAGGGCATCGGCAACCCATTTCAGGTCCGGCAGGCACGCGAGAACCTGCGGCAGCTGCAGCAGCTGTGCCACCGTGCTGCGGACGCAGAGGAGGAGGCGGGCCCCGAGGAGCTCATGAACGCCCGCAACGTCGGCGGCGGCGTGTTGAACCCGGAGTGGCAGAGTAAGGTCTTCCAGCAGGGTGTGGGCGAGTTGGCGCTGCGGGTGGTGAAGGCGACGCTGGAGTGCCCACACGTGCGCCCAGAGAAGCTGTCCTCGATGGATATGGTTTACCCGCAGACGGTTGACGCCTCTCTGGCGGCTTCTGTTTCTGCGGCTCCTGTAGCTGGTGTTGTTGCTGGTGCGGGTGCGGAGGAGAAGAGAAATGCAAAGGGAGAGGCGCTGAGTGACAGCGGCGTGCTCCCGCGGCCGTCGCCACTGCCGTCCGTCACACTAGCGGCCTCACCTCCCACTCTATCAGCCACGCTGGACGACAGGATCGGCTCCTCGCCTTCGGCCTCTTTCGTGCCGATGCGCTACAGCGAACTGGGCGAGCTGGTCGCGACGTGCTTTCAGCTCGTGCGTCTTTTACTGTACAACCGTCCACGCTACGCAGAGGCGCTGCAGGGCTACGCCGACTTCGTCATGCAGTGCACCTACCACGTCCCCTCCGCCTTGAAGTGTCTTGCGGCGTTCTACAGCGACAACCCGACCTTCGTGGAGCTGCCGATGGCGCGGCACCGCCTCGACTTCTTCCTCGACATGCTCGCAAAGCGCGGCCGCGAGCCGGACGTTGTGCACCTCCTCCAGCTCTTCGCCTGCTGCGGTGGGGAAGGCATGGTGGAGGCGCAGAGGATCATTTTGGACTTCTTCGCGAAGAATCGCGCGGTGGCGCTGCGGCTGCTGTGTCCGATGCGCCGCATGCCCGTCGCTCCGGAGGTACGTGAGGCGTTGCTGTCGCAGCTCCCGGAGGGCTCGCCGCGGTTCTCGGAGCGGGCGGAGTCGTCACCAGCGGCGGCGGTGCCCGACGGCGGTGGGGAGGTGGCGGGGAAGGACGAGCCAGAGGGGATCCACCGCAGCCGCGGCAAGTTCCACGTGGGCAGCCCGCTGCGTCTGTTGAAGCTGCAGAAAACATCCAAGGCGAGCCCGACGACGGCGAGTGCGGTGCGTTCGCCGGCGTCCCCGACCGTGGCGGAGTCCGCCCTTCGCCTCGGCAGGGAAGTGGTGATGGTGGGCATTCCGAACTCGCTCTTCGCCGACCCCGAGAGTGGTGGCGACTCGCTCTCCATCGCCACCTCCACGCAGTACCGCGCGAAGAGCAGCAAGCTGGGCGAGCTACTGCAGCGTGCGGCAGACGCGGAGGACATCAGCGCCCTCACCTTCTTCCCCCTGGAAGGATTGTCCGTGGTGATGCAGGACTGGCCGGAGGTGAAGGACGTGCTGGTGCCTTATTTGGTCGCACAGGTACGGCTGCTGGCCGCGCTGGCGAACGGTAAAAGCAAGGCGACCAGCAAGCCCTTTATCTTTGAGTGGCTCCCGCGTCTGGTGCTGGTGGAGACGCTGAAGAGTGAGGCGCTGCCGCGCCAGCTGCACGCCGCGCTGCTGGAGCTCTTCGCGAATGTGATGATGGACGTGGCGGGGGCCGGTGACCTACGCGAACAGATGCTAAACATCCGCTGCGTTATCACGCGTACGGGCAGCGCGGCCGATGCCCCGGCAGCCTCCGCGCTTCAACTGACGATGCGGAACGTGCCGGAGGAGCTGGTGGCGGCGAAGCAGGTGGTGGTGCGTTACCTGCGACGTACGTTGATGAGCGGTGACGAGAACGTCGCCGCGGAGTATCTGTCGGTGCTGAACCTAACCGATGCGCTCGTGAACATCGGCGCATTCGAGCTGACGGAGTACGACACACTCCTTCGACTGCTGGTGCAGTGTGTGGACCCATCGTGCGACGACCAACGCACCTACCTGGAGGTTCAATCTGTCTACGACTGCAAGTCGTGCGCGCTGCGGCTCATGAACACGCTTACCGACGTCCTTCTGGTACGGGAGGCGCTGAACCTGGTCGACTGCTTTCGTATGGAGAGGAGGCCGCCCACCTACAGTCAGATTACAGCGCTCAATGTTCCTGCCACGGCGAAGAATACGGCTAGCGGGGAGAGGGGTGAGGTGCAGCGGTGGTTTGGCAACGGAGAGGCCGAGAAGAGTGCCGCCGTGGCACCGAACGGAAGCCCTGGTGGTGAGAGCAGCAACACGTATGCCGTGGAAGATCGCACGGCGAAGCCGGGGCTGACGCCCATCGCGGAGATGTTCCGCGCCCTGCTCGACCTCGCCAACCGCAGTCACAGCTCCGTGATTCAACGCCAGGTCATTTGCCTTTTCTTTCGCGTGACAAACTTTCTGGAGGAGCTGCGCGCCACCGCCATGCGCGTGCAGCTGCTGACGTCCGAGGAGAGCATCGGCTTCTACGCTGAGATCGACCGCACCTCCGTTGCCTTGGAGGAGCTGACGAAGAAGTCGTTCAGGCGCTCCAACACCGTCGCACTCGCCAACAGTGCGCTGGACGCGTTGGGCAAGTTCATCGCCAAAGCGAAGTACGGCGCCGTCGCGGAGAAGCTGTCGATGATGCTGCACCTCGGGGTGCCTTTGCAGCTCATTCGTTTGCTGACGCGCCTCACAGTGCCGCTGCCGGAGGCGAGTCGTCAGCTCGCCTTCAAGGCCGTGACGTTGATGCAGACCATGTCACAGAACGCACGCATCCGCGAGGAGCTGCGCGAGGCCGTGGCGGATGCCTCCCCGCTCGTTTACCAAAACACAAACTATATCGCCCTCCTGCGTACGCTGTTCGTGTCCGACGCCGACAACGACCACGCGCAGATGCCCGCGGGGCTCCTGGCGGACGTGGTGAGGTGTCTGTACGTGCTGCACTCCACAGATGAGGCGATCGACTTCTTGTGCGACTGGCTCGCCGCGCGTGGTGCCTCGGGCCACGTAACGGCGCATCGTCAGCAGCAGCTGTGGCGCGCCATCGTGTCGGATCAACAGGCAGAGCGCTGCATTCAGCTGCGCCACAGCTGGTGTAGCGATCAAGGACGGGAGCTGCGCGAGAAGCTTTTGACCTCCGACGAGTCCTACGACCCCAGCGGCCGCGTGGCGACGCATCTGAAGATGTGCCGTCTGCTGTTCCTCGTGGCCAACAAGACCGAATTCGTCAAGTCGGAGGAGATCCGCCAGGAGGTGTTTGGGCAGAACAGTTTGGATGCCATGCTGCAGGTCACGACGGACTCGATGCTGCCCGTGTACTTCAGGGAGCCATACACGTCGCTGCTGCAGGCGCTCGTGCTGGACGATTCGATGGCCGCGCCGTCGCTCTTTGCACACCGCGACTTTCCTGACTTTCTGCGACTGTGCATGATAGACACCGTAAGGTACGTGCAGCTGCTCGGCGGCAGCTCGGTGTTTCCCGAGGTGGAGGAGGAGCTGGAGCGGCGAGAGGACGCCGCGCTGCGCTGCCCGCCGAAGAACGCCACGGAGGAAGAAATGAATGAGGCGCGGTTTGGCTGCGGCGCCTACGAAAGCTTCTTTTTTGGTCCGCTGTGCGCGTGTCTTCAGCGCGTCTGTGCGCGTTACCGCAGCGGTGTCTCGCAGCTGTCAAACCGGGTCCGCACGCAGCTGGAGGGGGCGATCAACGAGGTGGTCGACGCGTTGTGCGACGTCATGCAGCAGGTGCTGGCACCACGCTCACCCAGCGCGGTGCTGTCCGAGCCGACCACGGCGGGGGTGAACTCGACGCGCGCCGCCAGCGTGACCACCGCACCGTTTCCCGAGACGCAGTGGACGGAGCAGCAGACCACCATCCTCCGCAGCTGCGTGTGGGTGGCGAAGGAGAACGGCTTCTCCGGTACGGCGCGGTGGCGTGGGGCGGCGTTCGCGCAGGTGTGCAGCCGACTCGACGCGTACATCGAGACGATGACCACCGCGACGACGACGGTGAAGGCGCCGCCTCCTGCCACTGGGAGCAGCAAAGATGCGTCGGATGTGGCGGCGTCGACGCAGGACGGCGCGAACGTCCTGACGGGCAAGTGGACAACGTACCTGCGGGAGAGCCTTCTGAGTGACCCCCGCATGGCAGAGGAAAACCGCCTTCTCTCTGCTGCTGGGATTCTCCTCCGCTGCGGGGTGCGCGGCACCATCTTTGCTCGTATGCTCTTCACCGTCATGCCGTCTCTTCAGCGCTACTACCTGGTGAGCATCTTAACTCTGGTGCGGCAACTGGTTGTGCTAGCGCCGAACAACCCGTACGATGACAGCGCGCTGCTGCCCCTGCACTTGCAAGACGCGGACATGCCTTTTATCACCATCACCACTTCAGTGCCGTCGCGGCAATCCTTTCTCGCTCGCTGGCCGGGCGACACATCACTGGAGGTGCCGGTGCCTCTGATCGCGGTGGTGAGTGAGTTTATTGGGTTCGGCAAGCACGACGTGCAGCGGGCCGCGTTGCTGGCCGGCTGCACGCTGCTCATGAAAGGGAATCGCAGCATGCAGGAGTGCTTCTACAGTTACTGTCGCCGCAGCGCCAACGAGCAGCTGTTTTTCGTTCTGCGCAACCACCTCATCGAGTTCAAAGATGAGCTGCGCACCTACTACCACGCTCTGGCAAACGGCGGCACCCCGTCCGAGGCGGTGCACTACTTGTCGCAGATGGAGAACTGCCGGCTGGAGCTGAGGCTGCTGCAGCTGCTGTGCGCGGGACAGTACGCCCCTCTGCAGACCTACCTCGTCGCCCAGCCGGACAACAACATTTCAGTCAACGTCGTGGAGGCGCTGGTGGAGTTGCTCTCGATGGCGCCGAAAACGGCAAACGAGGAGACGTCCGACTTCATGCTGCAGCTCCTGTCCACCACCGCGGAGTCCCTGCAAGGGCCGTGCTTGATCAACCAGGACACGTTCGTCGCCTACAATGCCGCGGATTACCTTACCCTGCTGCTGTCCGAGTACGACCCCTTTGTTAACCCCGACGCGGTGTTCTCGAGCGTCGAGACGGTGGTGCGCCGCGTGCCGTGGTACGAGGCCCGCTTCGGCGCTAAGCACAAGAAGAAGAGGGAGGCCGCCCTCGTGGAGGAGGCACGCCGCCGGTGCCGCAACCTGCTCCAAACCATGGCACTCTCCACGCTGTTGGCGCTGATTGAGGGCCGCGACGACTCGGCCTTTGCCTCGAAGCTCATTTCGACGGTCGACCTCTCCGTGTTGGGGCGGTCCATGGACCGCAGCGCCGCCACCTACGAAGCCCGCCACGGATCCATCGTGCGCAGTCAGACACGCGGGCTGCTGCGTGGGGATGTGGAGGGCTGCCGTGCAGTGCTGGCCCGGTACCTGCGCGACTACATCCACTCCGACTACCCCACGGGGCGCCAGGAGCTGCAGGATGAATTGGCGCTGGCCGTGAGCATCTACACGTTTTTCAGAGCCTGCCATGACATGCACACGCTGGCCGTGTTGCGGTCTCACCGAGCCGGGACGGCCGCGCAGCACCGCCGTGGCGTCTCCCAGGACGTGGACGAGTTCGTCGACAAGAAGGGGCAGAGCATCCGCCAGGTGCTGCGCAAAACGCGCTCCTACCGACAGGTGGCGACGAAGCTGGCGAAGATTGAAGTGGTGAGGGATGGACGGCTGGAGCGGGTGTACTTCCGAATGCTGAATACCGCGCTGGACAACCTGCTGCACTACCGCAAACAGCACCTGATCGCGTCGGCCGTGCGCACGAGCGACAACGAGCGCATCCAGTACTTCTTCAATAAAGGCTCGGAGGTGATCGTCGAGGTCGCCTGGTACGCGCGGCTGCGACGGTGTTTACTTCTTTTTATGATGAACTTCTTCAGCAGCGAGATCAACGCGGTGGGGCTGGCGATTGTGCTGGCGATCAACCTTGTCATGGTCATCGGCATCCGCGCACCGACCTCGCCGTACGAGGACGGCACGAGCGACGGCATCAACCGTGCCCTACGCGCGTTGGGCATCGCGGACATCTGCGTGCAGGGCGTCCTAGTCATCCAGGCCTTCTTTGGACCCGCCATCGTGAGCTACAAAATTGGGTGGCAGTCGTGGAAGTCGTCCAAGGCGAGTCGGCTGACGAAGCGGGCGGACAACGACATCGCGGCGGATCGCGGCGAGGTGCTGCAGCGTGGGGAGGACACGATGCGGCCGACGTGGTACGAGTACGCCGTGTACAGTCTATACTTCATCTTCACCGACGGCCTCTTCCTCCTCCAGGCCTTCTTTCTTTTTGTGAGCATCATGGGCTTTGTGCATCATCACATTTGGTATGGGTTGCAGCTCATGCAGGTGTCGCTGAGTAGCCCGGTGCTGGCGAGTTTGTTTACTGCGCTGGCGAACAACGCCGCCTCGCTGGTGCTCACCTTGGCGCTGCTGCTCATTTTTGTCCTCTTCTTTGCGATCATCTCGTTCTACAAGTTCTCCGACCTCTTCAACCCCCTCAGCACGCGCAACAACGGCTTTAACTGCTACACGATGTCGCAGTGCTGGCTAGTGCACGTGGACACGCTGCGCAGCAGTGGCGGCATCGGAGATGTGATGGACTGGCCCATCTTTTACTCCAAGGACGGGTTTGGCTACTGGACGGAGTTCTTCCGAATGTGCTACTTCGTCGTGGTGAACCTGATCGGTCTGAACCTCTTCCTGGGCGTCATCATCGACAGCCTGGCGCAGTACCGCCTGGAGCAGCAGTTCGTCAAGACGGATCAGGAGAAGAAATGCTTCATCTGCGGTATTGAGCGCAACGTGTTCGACGTGGTCCAGCCCGGCACCTACGACACCCACATCGGCGAGGAGCACAACATGTGGCAGTACCTCTTCTTCCTGCACTACCTCTCGGAGAAGGACCCGGAGTCCTACACAGGGCAGGAGGCGTATATACATCAGCAGGTGCTCTACCGCGATGTCACCTTCTACCCGATCGGCAAGTCGCTCGTGCTCGGGGCGATGGAAGGGGGTGACGCGCCGTCGAGCAAGGCGGACACCGGTGCCAGTCGCGGCTCGGGCGGCGGCGGTGGCGGTGGCGGCGACGACGGCGCAGGCGCGGACGACGCAACGGCCCAGGCCGTGCTGACCCTTGTGGAGGTGGCCCTCAAGACGAGCATTGACCCGCTGAAGCGGAAGTTGGAGGAGATGGCGGAGAGCGTGCACGAGGTGAAGGAGAAGTTGATGCCGTCAGGCGGCAGCCTCGAAAGCACATCTGCCTCCGCGCATCCTCGAGGGATCGGCGACGCCGTGCACCCCGATCGCTCGCCGTACGGCCGCACACGACGCACTCGCAGGTAACGACCGGAAAAGAAAGCACATCACTACTGTCCAACGACGACACAGCTGACAACCGTTTTTCATTGGTGTTATAATCGATGCGTCATAGCAAGTCAAAAACACGCGGCTTTCCACAAGTTTTTGAGACGCTGTCAAGCGCATGAAACGAGTTTAAAGCATCGAACTCAATCTGGCAAGAAGTCCATAACGCCGCGAGAAACTCGCCGACTCGGCTTTGTTCGCCGCTTTTTTTCATCGTTTTCTTTTCTTCTCTTTGGTGAAACCGATTCGACGCACTGACGCCGACCGCCTGCGTTGTTTATCGAGAACGGATTTGCTGAGCGTTAATACTCGGTTTTAGTCTTGCACCACTTCTTTCTTTCCCTGTTCGCTCTTCGCTTTCTGCTATGGCCAGTGTGTTGCACAAAGCCTCCACAAACGCGTGCGAAGAATCAGCAGAAAAGAAACCTTTCGATTCAGTGCGATCACGCACACGCACACGCACAAGTGGAAGGCGCCACAGCTTCTCACTCGCTTAGCGCCGCTGGAAAAGTTATATTTTGTGCTTTGCCCGGGGCTTTCTGCTCCCTCCGACACACTCCATTCTTCCTCTATTTATTATACATTATATATATATATATTGATTGCTCAAGACAAGACCTGTTCAGCCCCTATTGTTGTTTCGCATACATTTGTATTCCGCATCGTCTCGTTATCAACCATGATGAAGCTGTCCGTCCTCGACCGTATCCACGTGCGGGAAGAGGACCCAACCGAGAAGTTCGAGATTCTCGAGAGCGTCGGTGTCGGCAACTTTGGTGTGGTGCTCAAGGCACGCGACTGCGTCACCGGGGACATCGTCGCCATCAAGCAGGTCCCTCTCGGGGACACAGACAAGGAGGAGCTGGACAGTATTATCAAGGAGGTGGAGATTCTCCAAATGTGTGACCACCCTAACGTAGTGCGCTTCTTTGGCACCTACCAGTCGTTGGGGGTGCTGTGGATTGTGATGGAGTACTGCGAGGGGGGCTCCGTGGACAACGTGTATGACTTGCTGCGCCGCCCGCTGTCGGAGGCGCTGATCGCCTACGTGTGCCGCGAGACACTGCTGGGGCTGCGCTACCTACACGAGCACCTCATCATCCACCGCGACGTGAAGGGCAGCAACATTTTGCTGTCGAGAGACGGCCAGGTGAAGCTGGCCGACTTCGGCGTGAGCGCGGCCCTCATGCATACCCTGTCGCGCCGCAACACGTTTATCGGGACGGCGCTGTGGATGGCGCCGGAGGTGATTGTGGAGAAGGAGTACGACTACCGCGCGGATATTTGGTCGTTGGGCATCACGACGATCGAGCTGGCGGAAGGGCAGCCGCCGCACTTCGGCATGCACATGGCCCGCGCCGTCTTCGCGATTCCGCACAACGACCCGCCGACGCTGCACGCCAAGGAGCGCTGGTCACCGCAGATGAACGCCTTCATCCGACGACTGCTCACGAAAGAAAAGGAATCCCGGCCATCTGCCACGACGATGCTGATGGACCCCTTCCTGAACCCCAGCACGATCGCCTCTCGTGCGGACATGGCGGCGGTGGTGGAGCAGCTGCTCACGAAGCGCAAGTCGATGGACGAGGCGGAGGGCAACACGAACCCGTCCACGCTCACCATCGTCACACGCAGCTCGTCTGCGGTAGGCGAGGACGAGGACGGGGCAGAGGAGGTGCCGTCGATGCCGGCGGACGAGGGAGGCAGCTCGTGGATGGACGACCACGGCGGCGCTCCGGCGTCGAGCGCTTCTCCGGCGACGCGACATTCCTCCGGGGGTGCGGCTGCTGCCGGTAGCGGGGCGCAGCTGGGCGGTCTCCTCGTTCTGCTTCCCCTCCTCCACCTCGAAGATATGTCGTTTGATGCGTTGTGTGGCGGGGGACGGACGCTGCTGAATGGCGGGCTGGCGAGCAGTGGGGCGTCGCCCGCTACAGGTGGCGGCGCCACAGTCGGGACACCAACGGGACCGAATAGTGCGACTGCTGCTGCCGCTGCTGCGGTGGTGAGTCCTACCGCTGCCTCCTCCACCAATCCACTCGGCGGTGGCCACGGTGCGCGTGTCGGTGCCTTTCCATCCGCCACCTCCGTGCCCTTCACCGCGGAGCCTGGCATCGCGGAAAGCATCTCCAAGTATCAGCACGCCGCCCTTCCCACGCTGAGCCCGAGTGGGTTTCTGTCGGCCCCGCCGGTGCCGCCCACCCCGCATCACCAAACGAAAGCGGCGGCGGCGGCGGCGCTGGGCGACCCGCTCGCCGAGGCGATCCATCTCCTCGGCCACGGCACCGACGTCGTGCCGTCACGGTGCGTCCCCGCTTTTGAGACCACGACGATGAACACGGTGCGCGACGTGTATTTGCACCACTGCCACCTGCCGTATACCCGTGCCGTGACGGAGCAGGAGGCGAAGAAGATGCACCACATGAAGTTTATTTACGGCACGGTCCTCAAGAACGTCTACGCGACCACGGCGGAGTGCCACCGCAGCGTGGAGTAACACCCAAACTCAGATAACAAAGAAACGGACAAACGGACGTTGCTGCTTCTGCGCCTTTTGCTTTGTTCAAGCAGGTTGAGCCAACTCCTTTCACGCGTTGGGCTGTCTACACAGAAGCAAACAAAAGCGTGGGCCTTCTCGATGTCTTTCTTTTCCATTGACCAAAATTTATGCCGCTCCGGTCCAGCTCACGTCTCTCCTCCACGTAAAACAGGAGTCGTGTTCTTCCTGCTGAAGCGAAGGCTTCACCGGCGAGGAGCGCGTCGTTTTGAAGGCGCCCGTGCGAGTGGAAGTTGTATGAAGCGGTTCTCATCTCACTCCTTTCCTCTTCTCCTTCCTTCAACGAAGCCTTTGCGCCGAGGTGTCTCTCTCGCACTCGTTACAGATAAGCTTTGCATGAAAGAAAGAAAACCCTATTCAGCCCTTCTGGAATCTGCTTGTGCTGCCTGATTTGGTCAGTGCTTCAAGTATTATTTTGCCTACACACAAACACACCGATGTCCGACGCTGCGCGCGAGGCGGGCGGGGCAAACGGGGATGAGCGCACCGCCCCTGTCTCCCCCTCCCCGCCAATAGAGGAAATGGACGCCGACACGATGCGAAGCGAGCTGCGTCGCCTCGACGAGGAGAAGGCGCGGCTGGAGCGGCAGCTGACGGAGGCGCTGCAGTACCTTGCGTCGACGCCGGTGGGGCTGCACAAGCGCCTGGTCGACGACGAAGGCTTTCCCCGCAGCGACTGCGATCTCTACGCCGTGCGCGTCGCACGCAACACCGCCGACTCCACCCGCAACGATCTGCGTGCCCTCAGTGAAAAGATGTATGCGCTGCTCAACGCCTTGCATCACAGCACACAGGAGGAGGCGGAGCTACAGATGGTGCAGGATGCCGCGTCGCGTCGCCAGCGGCAGGTAACGGCGGAGAAGCGGGCACAGCGCATGGCGGAGGTGCAGCGCGTACGTAAACTGCCCCCGTGCTTGGTCGTCGCCAAGGTGGACTCGGGGAGTCCGGCGGAGGAGGCCGGACTTGGGACAGGCATGCGCATTCTTCAATACGGTGCCATCACGAAAGCTGAGCTGGCCGCCGAGGGGCTGCAGGCGCTGATGAAGGAGACGACATCGCACGCAGGGGAGCCGATTACGGTGTGGGTGCAGAAACCGGGCGAGTTGGAGGACGATCCGACAGATCTCGTGCTGGTGCCGCAGCGGTGGAGCGGACCGGGGCTGCTCGGGTGTGCGCTGGATCTGTGTGAGGCACAGCGGTGATCCGTTCGACGCTTCTCTTTGTGTCATCGCGGTTGTTGTCGAGCTACGTCGTCTGCGCATCGGCGTTGCTTCAATTTCGGTTGCGGCGGCAGAAAAAGTATCGCTCGTTGTTGATGTGAGGCGGAAGCCGAACGAAGCGATGTCGCGTACCGGTGCCATGCTGAGCGTCGAAAGCAGTAAAGCTCAACGTCGCTTCTGTGCGTTGAGTGAGTATTGCAATATGCTGCGCGTGCAGCAACACCACCCTTAAAAAAAAAGGAAAAGATACACATATGCAAACCAACTATTATTAATTATCGCTATGCGCAGAGGTGCTCGAGGCTTCGGCGAGGGTTTTAGCAGACTACTGTTTATCTCTAGGCATTAGTGCAGCTCGAGGAACGGGATGAACGCCCTTCGCCGTGCCTTGTTCTTTCAAATAATAGTAATGATTCGAAGCCCATTCCTCTCCGTAAGAGTACTTAGACCGATCCTCCTTCTTTTCATCTCGATCTGAGAAGTATAGAAACGACGCGGCACGACTCTTTATTTGTTTTTCTTTTCTCTTACATCCGCGTTAGATCCCGGCATTCATGCTTGTGCGCTCTCTTTGCTGGCGTGCCGCAATGCGACCTCGCCACACGTGGATGGCGCTGATGGTGGACGAATGCGCGCTGATGCCGCTCCCCGCCGTTTCGTCCTTTGTGCAGGGCACCTTTACCCCTGGCACTGTCTCCAATACGAGCGGGACGAGCACAAGCAGCTCTCCCGCTCACGCGTCGCAAGCATCCTCTTCGTCTCTCACAGCACCACCGCCGGGTAAGGCGCCGGAGGAGCGCGCACACGCGTGGGTGGCGGTGGCGCGTCTTCTCTGTGAGGGCGGGGACTGGGCCCGTGCCGCAGCCGTCGTGGAGGGTCTCCCGCAGCCCCTCCAGCAGCCGGCGCGATTCAAAGCGATCCGCGATGACTGGCCGCTGCCCCGCACCGTCGCTGAAGCGTGGCGCCACGGCGTGAAGGCGGAGAAGGCAAGCGCAACGGCACCTCCATCGCCGCCGCTCTCGACGAACACGGCGGTAGAAAGCAAGCAGAGGGCGGTCCACTCCGCTTCCACCCCGCCGTCGTCCACGTCTGAGGCGGCGTCAGATGCCGCGGAGAAAAGAGGCAGCTACACGCTCTACCGCAGCGAGGAGCTGGTTCGAATGGCGTACAGCCTGCGCAGATCGCCCGCTGCGGTCGCACTGCACAGGGAGCAACACGCGATTGTGGTGGAGCTGCAACGACGCGGCGCCGTTGCCGAAGTTCTGCAATGCATCGTGAACTGGCAGCGCCGTCAGCTTCTGCGCCCCGATGCAGAGACAACGAAGAAGCGTGGCAGCGTTGACAAGGCAAAGGGCTCCGCTGATTTTTTGTTGCTCGACGGCGTGGGCGCGGCGAAGTCAGTCCTTTTCCCTGGCGCCGCTCGAACGATCGCAAGTGGCGCCGCCTCTGCCTTCCTCGCTGGCCACCTCAGCGAAACCAACAGGAGCAGCAACAGCAGTCCGGCAGCGGGGAAGCCTCCTCGCTATTCTGCACTGCAGCTTGCCCACATCCGCCAAGCAGCCGCCGCACACCCGGTGTTGGTGGCCCGGTGCCTGCGGGATCGAGCCGTGTGTGATCGTCTGCTGCGACACGCAGGTGACGCGAGCGTCGCTGAGGTGGCTTTTTTGTTTATGCGTGTCGTCGCAGCTCGGGGGAGTCCCGCTGCGAGCAGTCCGGCACCTCGCAGGACCGTCGCTTCTCCTTCGCCTTCTTTGCTGACGGATCCGTTGGCGCTGGAGGCGTACTGGCGTGCCCTCGCCGTGCTGCTTCCGCTGCTCCATTCATACTGGCGCCGTCAGTCGAAGGCGGAGAAGGAGAAGCTGCTGCAGGCCTTGATCGAGGCGCTGCGGACTACACAGGAGGAGACAGCCACCCACCAGGGCACGCCTCGTGACATCACCGCGACTGCGCAGCAGACAGCACTACCTTCTGTCATCGCGCGTTCTTTTTCTTCTCCTACGTCTGCGTCGCCGCCGCCGCCGGCTGAGTTGACGGAGAAGTGCCGTCGGGCCATCAAGGCATCGGTCGAGTCTGTGTGCTCCCCCCTGCTGCACCACGAACCGCAGGTACGCTTTCTGCGTCTCGACACCTTTGGCGACGTCGCGCTGCGCCTCACCGCGCTGCGCGTGGCCGTCCCGAATGCGCTGGCGCAGTGCCTCTTTCTATGCCTGGCGGACACGGCCGCTGCGTGTAGAAGCGGCAGCGGTGGCGGCGGCGGCCGCGAAGAACACGACGCAGCAGAGGAGGCGGCGCACGCGCTGGGCAGCTTTCTCGCTGCCAGCCCGTGCGATCGATGGCTGCCGGCGCTCGCCATGCTGCACGTCGCACACCGCCACCACGATTTTCACGTCACCGCCGCGCACGAGCGCGCGTTGCTCAGCGGCCTGCAAAGCGTGTCCATCGCCAAAACCTGGGCGGCCGCTCTGCGCGTGGTGGCGGAGTGCGCAGAAGCCTTCAACGCCGCACCGGACGAGCGCACGCTGCCGACGTTGCTGCTGAACTTGAAGCAGCAGTCATGGCAGGACGCTTTCCGGGTACTGCAGTGGGTGCCCGGCGGAGAGCTCAGTGCGGCCTCCCCGCCGACTCTGCGAGACCTGCAGCTTGTTGCCTTGAAGCACGCGTCGTGGGAGGTGCCTCTGCAGCTCATGACGGTGCTGCGGGAACGCCGCGCGGACGGCTTCATGAACCACCTCTACTGCCTCTGCGCAGCCTCTCGCGGCGGGCAGGCCGACGTCGCCTTTCAGTACTTCTGCTCTCTTCAATTCGGTCGGGGCCGCCACGTCGCCTGGCGGGGCGTGTCGCCCTTTAACGAGCTCACGGTGGCGGTAGCGGCGGTGGCCATGCTGGACTGCGAGCACCTCGACGCGCTGCATCGATTCACCCAACGAGTGCTGTCGATGCAGAACACGGCGGGGCCCGATGACGCTGCCGACGCCGACGCCGTCGCGCCGCCGGGGTTAACGCTCGACGGGCGGTGGATGGCGCAGGCCGCCAACATCGCGGCTCTTCTGCCGGGGAGCGCGCGCGACACGGAGCTCGTGGCGCTTCTCCTTTCGCTTCCGGTGGACGATGTGCAACGCGTTCTGCGCCGCTTTGTGGCGCTGCGCTGTCTCCTCCACATGGAGCACCTCAACGCACCGATTCGGCTCGTCTTCGACGTGCTTGGGCACGGCAGCTCGCCGCAGCAACAGCGCGCCCACTGCGGTTTTCTGGCATCGGTGGAGTCGTCTCAAATAGGCGAGGGCACCTTCGAGACGCGTCAGCACAGCACGAATGAGCGGCGCAAGCACCTCTATATTCCCATGGCCCATCAGCGACGTCAGAAGAAGGAGGCGGCGATGCAGCTAGGTCTTTTTATTAAAGCCAACGAGTCGGCGATGCCCCCGTCGGTGGTGCAGCAGGTGGCGGAGACGATGGTGGCGGAGGGCGTGGGTGCCGAGTACATGACGGCAGCGCTGCTGTGACATCACCATCCACAACAAAATACTGGAAGACAAGTGATCCGCCACGTATATATATATATATTTGCGTTCTTTCTTATTAAGTAGCGGCAATGCAGCCGGCTTGTTCTTATCCCCTTTGCATGTTAGCCAAAGCAATGCAAAACGCGTGGAGTCTTCATGTGATGCCGCGGCGCAACTGTCATACGGAGTTCTCCTATCTTCACAGCGATGAAAACACAAATACATCTACAAAAGCAATAGAGAAACAATAGTGAAAGAAAAAAAGAGACTGCAGCGTGTGATCGCACGGTCTGCCGTTCGTTTGCTGTGCGCTTATGAGCATTTGAAAATGCATTCCGCCGCACGCAGTTTTGTGCTAACGAACGCTTGTAGATGTGCAGATGCCGTGCAATTTGACGAAGGCGGATCGCTCGGCTTCTTTTTGTATCTAAAGCTGTGCTTTGGTGTCTCTCATCGTTGATCTTTGCTGCACCGTTAAACAGGTTTTTTTCCTCCTTTTATCGACTCCTCCTTTGGTCTCCTCTTCCTTCCTTCTACGCTCCCTGTAAAGGTTATACGTTCAATTCCATTGTGGCGCTCGCACGTCAATTATTGTATTTAGTTTTCTCGCACGTCAGCGCTGTAGCGCAGAGGTTCTCACGCAGCTTCATTGTGGATTAGTTGGAACCGCCTTTTCCTCCGCTAAGGTTCGCTCGAATTGCAGCCTTTTGTCTTTGCTTTTAACGTTGTTTGTTGCTGGCTGGGACGGCGCACGTTGCTCATCAGGAGGTGTGGACCACGAAACTTTCGGCCTCCTTCTTCCCTACGTGAATTTTTGTTTTTTTTCCTCTCTTCCTTGTTTGTCGTTTTATTCAGTATTTACGCCGCTGCGAGCCTCACTCGCCGGCTCTTGTTCTTCGTTTCATCGCAGCGTCTCCGCCAACCTGTGGAGCATCAGCGACCGCGCTCTCTCTCTCTCGTGCAATTGGTGACAGCAAAAAACAACATCAAAAGAGGGCGAAAGAGTAGAATGGAGAAGCACGATCGGAAGTGGTCCGCGATGGACCGCCTGCGCGACGTCGCCACCGTCTCCGACCTGCCGGCCATCATAAAGATCGTCATGAAGAACAAGGTGAACATCAGAGCCCCAGACGCGCAGGGTCGGACAGCGTTGCACCACGCGTGCTTGCACAACGACCGCGTCTTGGTCTCCTACCTCCTCTCTCGCGGCGACATCGATGAGGAGTTGAAAGACAAGGACGGCCACACCGCCCTGGAGCTGGTGCCAGAGGAGGCCCGTACCGAAATGCGGCTGCTCTTCTCCAAGAAGACCGCTAACCGGCAGACGCGTGAGTCGAAGCAAGCAACGAAGGGCCAGGAGGCGAACGAGGAGATGTTGGAGTTGGATCTGCGCGAGTCTGACCAGGTCAGCCCCGCCACGATGCGTAAGATCCTGTTTTCGCTGGTGCTGCCGCTGCTGGTTCTCATCTTCTACAACGGCCTCGTCTTTGCGGTGCAGTTTATTGTGGTGACGCTGAGTTTCTACTACGTTGCGGTGGCCTACTTTGTGTCGGAGGTGGCGATTCGCCCGCCGTGGTACCACCACCACCCCGGCGCCACGAAGCTGACGATGGTGAACTGCCCGGATTACTGGCAGGGCTGGATTACCGACCCAAAGACGGACTTCGGCCTCGTCTACGAAGACGTCCAGTTTGGCTCCACCGACGGCTACAAGCTGAGTGGGTGGTACGTGCCGCCGCCCAGCACAAATGCTCGAGAGATGGGCATCGTCTGCGTGCACGGCGGCGGCCGCGACCGTCGCACGTGGGAGCGCCACCTCCCGTTTCTCCACGCCGCTGGCTACGGCTGCCTCATGTTCGACTTCCGCGAAGCCGGGCTGAGCAGCGGCAAGATGCGCGGCTTCACCTTTGGGATGAAGGAGCGCTTCGACGTCGTCGCGGCGTGCGATTTCATGCAGTCGAGGTACGGGTACAAGCGCATCTGTGCGATGGGCACGTCTGTCGGTGGCTCCTCGGTGATCATGGCGGCGGCGATCGATAAGCACATCGACGTCGTCATTGCGGAGAACGCCATCACGACCAGCGCGACGTTGCTGGATCAGCAGATGGTGATGATGCTCGGTGGCTACTTTGCGCAGAAGGCCTACAGCAAACTTCTCTTCAAGCTCTTCCGCCGCTGTGCCACATTTTGGCTGAACTGGCGGATTGGCAACAAGCCGTCGAAGCACTGCCAGGCACTGCACTGCATCGCGAAGATCTCACCCCGGCCGATACTGCTGATGCACGGCACGAGTGACACGATCGTGCCGATAAAGCACACGGAGATCCTCTTTGAGACCGCGCTGGAGCCGAAAGAATTGTACATCAGCGAAGGCGCCTACCACTGTGGGTTGTACAACACGCACCCGGAGGAATACGAGGCGACGGTGCTCGGCTTTTTGGAGAAGTACGGCGCGTCGTCCCCCGAGCCGAAAAACGAAGAGAACGCAGAAGAAAAGAAGGTCCAGTGAGGGAGAGGTGGAAGCGGCCTGAGCGAAGGAGAAGGCTCACGTATTATCCACGTCACACATTGTGAAAGACAATCTGGGAGTGAGCGCATCGCTGGGCAAGCTCCGCCGTCTTACGTTCTTTTCTTTCTCTCTCTCTCTCTCTCCTATTCTGTTTTGTTCTGTGGAGTGGGAGAAAAAGTGCTGAAGGTGCAGTGCACGTGTTGCGCTGGCCTGCGTCTGTGGCGTGCGGCAACGGAGGAGAGGAGGGGCGGTTTTTTCTCTTATTTCCTTCCTTCCTTCTGCGCCTCCCTGAGGGATGCCGTCGAGGCTGCGAAGCCGCGCTGAGCGAAGACGGAGCATCGATGGCGTGGGGCAGCACCAGCATTCGCAGCTTCGCTATCTCCCCCCTCCTTCTCATGTGTCGTGCTTCAATACTCTCTTTTGTTTTGGGTTTGTGCGTTTTATCGTGGACGCACAATGATGGTCGCTGCTGGAATGGCAAAGCGCCGAGGCCGCTCTCCACAGTTGTCTTTTGAAATTAGAGAGTCGAGGCGGTGCTTTGCTTCCGTTGCCAGCGGCGCTGGACCCGGTTATTACCAAATTCCAATTCTTTTCTTCTTCCTTGCTGATGCAGCCGTAGAGAACGTCCCCCTGTCTGTGCGTGCTCACACGTGCACATACACGAACGTACATGCTTATATGCCGTGCGCGGCGCCTTTAGTCTTATGATTTGAGAGAAAAATACTTTCCAGTGTAGCGCGATTTCGCCTGCCTCTCCTCCCTCCTCCCTTCTCCTCCTCCTCCCAAAACCGAATGTTTTTGTGTTCTCCCCTGTATTATATATTTTTTTCTTTATTGCTTTTTTCTATTGTTTCCTCTTGTTTCGCCTCGTACTGCTGCGGCGATGGTGAGGTGTCTGCGCCACAACGGGGGCGTCAGCAAAGGTGTTTGAAAGCGAATTCCTCGCGCTTCCCGAGCAACGCATGTGCCGGCCCATCTCTCCAATGGACTGAAACACGCATACATCAAAAAAAGAAGGAAAGAAAAGAAAAAAGAGAAGGAAGAGGAAAGAATCGCCCACCCGACTTTAGATTTTCCTGCACAACGGCACGCGTAAAGCGCGATGTGCCGAGCCGAACACGATAGCTCGGCTCAGCTTTTGTTTGGGCATGCTGTTAGGAACGCGATGCCATGTGCGAACCCAGCTGTGCATCGAAACAGAGCACATCCAATTAAACGCACAAAGAGGGTGGACGTGAACATCACTTGTCTTGTCGCTCCGCAGTTAGATGGGGTGGATGCGAAGTGGGAGCGGTGAATCTGTCCTTGCTGCTTTCGGCGTTGCAGCTATGAAAAAAAAAAACCCAAACACAGCAGTAACGGAGAGAAGGAGAGGGCGAACGCTTTTAGAGTGAGTTGTGACGCGTCGATGGCCTGAAGCACATCGAACCTCAACAACTTTCAAGCACATCGGTAGCTTCTTCTTCTCCCCCCTTATTCATAAGTAGTCCCTGAGTCAACACTTAATGTGGATTATATGTGCGTATATCGAGTACGGTCGCAGCGTGTTCTTCGTTCACTCCTCCCCCCTCCTTTTTCTCCCCACCTTTGAATGCGGCTTCCTTCGTTGTCTGCTGTATCTCCCATTTCTTCTCTCAGTTGTTGTATCATTTATTTTCTATTTCTCGAACTGCTAAACCCTTTCCCTTTCGCGTCAAATGAGCTGCTTTGTTGTTGCGTAGAGCTCCGTAAGAATATCATAACACAAGTGATCCTGAACTCTACTTCCGTCTCCCGTGTGCGCGCCTGTGTGTTTGTGCCCCGTCGACTGTGCGTACTTCACACACCGCCGCTTATATATATATATAATTTTTCTTCCTGTCTTCTTCTATTCGCTTCTTCCTCCACCGCCGCCTGCCCCAGCAGACTTGAAAGCCAGCTGTGACTGAGTTGCTTGCGACTTGCGCCTATTCGTGGAACTTTAGCCTTTTTTTTTGGTTATGCGTGTGCTGCCTGGCGCCCCTCTTTTCTATTGTTGCTCCCCAACGTACTAGAATGCCAAGCGGTGCTGGTGCACGAGCCGCTGCCTCCTCCTCCTCCTCTCACCTCCCTCTCCGGCTGCATTGAATGTGAGGACTCCACCTTCTTTATTGTTGTACCCCCCCCCCCGTCCTCCCATACACACCACACCCCGTCAGGAAGGAAAGAGAGCACGAAAATGGACATCAACGGTACCATCGTGGACTGCCGGCGGAACGGCACCGACGAAGTCGTCTTCCGCTTTCTCATCCTCGACGCCCCCAGCCCCAGCAGCCTGCCCACCTACGTGAAGCTGCTGCAGCGGCACAGCGTCCACCACCTCGTGCGTGCTTGTGGGCCGACCTACAACACGGAGCTGGTGGAGAAGAACGGCATCAAGGTGCACGGTTGGACCTTCGATGACGGGGCCCCACCAACGCAGTCGGTGATGGACAACTGGCTCGATTTGCTCTCGAAGGAGGCGGGGAAGACGCCACCGGAGACGATCGCGGTGCACTGCGTGGCGGGTCTCGGCCGGGCACCAATCTTGGTGGCGCTGGCGCTGGTGGAGTACGGCAACATTGCTCCGCTGGACGCGGTCGGGTACGTGCGGGAGCGACGGAAGGGGGCGATTAACCAGGTGCAGCTGAACTGGTTGATGCGCTACCGACCACGCAATCATCAGTCGAATGACCGCTCGCTTGTCTGTGCGAACTGCACGATGATGTAAAACCGCTGGTTCGTCTTCCCGTCTCTCCAATTTGTATTGTTATCGCTTTCTGTTCTTGGTGTTCTTCTTCTGTTATGGATGGCTACGAGACGAGACCCGCTGACTGCGGTGTGGCCCCGGTGGTCCACCACCCCGCACACACAGGGGATGCACCTCAGTGGCAGCGGTGCACGACTCCGCAAAGTCGACCATTGGCCACACCTCTCCGTTCTTCTCTACCCTTTCCGTCCCAGTGTCAGCGTCGTTCGACGTCATCGCATCTCTGCAGAGGTGTTGCCGAGTATCGCGCCAGAGGGAGCGAGAGAGAGAGATGAGGACGTGTGCGGGAGAGACGACGAGAGGAGAGCGGATATTTGTTCTCTGTGGTGCGCAACCCACGACGGTTGCAGCAACATCTGAAACAGCAAAAAAAAATATGGAAACCTGAGTTCGCGAGGAAGAGAGGAACTAAAGTTATTTTTACTCTAACAGGAAAAAAAGAAGATAAGACGGACGTGCACGGCTGCGGGACGAGGCAATCGTTGTTTTTAAAATTTCTTTCGTTAATAAACCTTGTAGGCCCTTTCTTTCTATGGAGCCCTCCTCCACACCACGTACAAGTCTTTCTGTTGCTTTAAGCTGTATGCCCTGTTGTTCATGGATTTGGCTTAAAGAAAACCGTAGGTCTTTCTAAAGAGAAACGCCTCTCTGTCTAGTTTTTGCCTTTGTCTCAGTGCCGCGTCTGTATATGCAGTGCGTGGATGAAAGAGAGGAAGATCGCATCGGGAAGAGGCGGCGGAGACGACCGCTGTAAGTTTAACGAGCACACCCGCTAATAACTGTGCGGATCTTCAATTTAATAACACGGCACCGAAGAAAGAGAGGGGAAACCACAAGGAAGAAGATGACGAAAAAAGAAAGCATACACATAAATAAATGCTGTTAACGTCTCTCTCTGTGTGTGTGTGTGTGTGTGCGTGAAGGAGAAGGCTTAAATATTTTTTCTATCTCTTTCTTTCCCTACCTTTCCAGTGTGCGCGCCTCGTACTTGACATGTATCCAAGTTGATCACCTCTATTTTTTTTTACTCTCTTCTCTTGTGTGTATGTGTGTGTGCGTTTCTGCGCCGCGGTATTCCTTGTACTGTCTTACTACGTGAGCGGGGTGCAGATGACGCCCATGAAGGAAAGAGAATAAGGCGAAGAGGAATAAACATCATTGCGTAAGACGACGAGGGCTCAGCGACGGTGCATCAACGTCGTGGTTGCCCCCGCCCGTTTCCATGGCGAGTGCCCTAAATTGGTGGATACGGACATGAGTGCTATGCGTGGTGGCGCGCTCGATGTTCACGCCAAGCGTTTTAAATAAGCAACGCATCTTTTTTGTGTGAATTAGTTAGTCGGTGTGCTTGAAAAGCACTCATTACAACAAACGACGCCTGCTCACACGCCATTGCTGCGTGTTACGGTGGCAGAGGATGAAGGGTTGTTTGCGCTGCGCTCAGGAACAACTCCCGCCGCCACTCGCTGCATTTTCTTGCCGCTCCTTCCTCTCCCCTCCTTGTTATGCTTCTGTTTGTTTCTCTGTTTTTTCTGTGGGCTTCAACATATCTTCACGGTGCCTTGTGCTGCCGCACGCAGAGCACAACGATGAAGGGGTTGCGGCCTTTTCTTTTAGCTGCTTCTCCCCTATAGCACGTCGTGACACACTCTCTGCTGACGAACACATCCACCTATCTATCTGTGTATAACAGCCTGACACACTGCAGTCGATGCAGTAGGCTGAGACCTTTCTAGCAAACGTTGAAACACACACACACACACACACGCAAGACGCGAAACACAAACATCAGTAATATCTCGTTTTTGTTTGTGTATTTGACTTCAAGAATGTCATCGGACAGCGACGACGAGGATAGCCCGATGCTGCGGCAGGCACACGCCAGCGTGGATTGGAGCCGCGTCAACCACAAGCTGGCGAACCTGCCCACACTCGAGAAGCTCCTGCGCGAAAAGAACCCGAACGCGCACTCGCCGCAGGCGGTCGAGGAGGCGTCGCACTTTGTGCGTGATTTGATCGCCATGAACCCGCAGTCGGACACCGACGTGGAGAGGGCACAGCGAAGACTCCAGAAGAAGTACCACAAGGTGTTTAAGAAGTCGCTGCTGCTTGCCGGGTACAAGCATCTCGTTTACACCGCCGCCGCCCTTGCAGCGGATGAGGCAACCAGCGACCAGACCTCCAGCCCCGTGTTGAAGGATATGGAGGACACGGTGACGACTGCCTCTCTCGGCCCCTCTCCCTCCTCTCCCTCCCCCTCCGCTGCCACCGCTACACCTCCTAGCAGTCCGACAAGCCTCGCCGCGCTCGTCTGCCCAGTGCTGGAGCGCTACCTCGTCTCCAAGGCTCCCCGCAGTCAGTCGGGTGTGCTGGTGGTCACCGTCTTCACCTCGCCCTACCCGGATGGGCAAACCTTTAGCTGCCAGTGGAACTGCTACTACTGCCCGAATGAGCCCGGGCAGCCGCGCAGCTACCTGTTGAATGAGCCGGGGGTGCGCCGTGCGAACCGCCTGGAGTTCGACCCGTGTCGTCAGTTTGAGGATCGGGTGCACTCCCTGATGGCGATCGGCCACCCGGCGGACAAGGTGGAGCTGCTCGTGCTGGGCGGCACGTGGGAGAGCTACCCCTTTGCGTACCGCGAGCGCTTTATACGCGACCTCTTCTACGCTGCGAACATTCTCTTCGACCCCCCGCTCGTCCCGCGGCGGCCCCCGCTCGACATGCTGCAGGAGCAGCTGATGAACGAGTCGGCGCGGTGCAAGATCATCGGCGTGACGCTCGAGACGCGGCCCGACACGATCAACTCCGCGATGCTCGTGGAGCTGCGCCGCTTTGGGTGTACCCGCGTGCAGCTCGGTATTCAGCACACCGACGACGGTATCTTAACGTTGGTGAACCGCCAGTCAACGCGCGAGGACGCGGCGAGTGCGATAAAGCTGCTGAAGGACAGCTGCTTCAAGGTGGATATCCACCTCATGCCGGACCTGCCTGGTGCGAGCCCGGACATCGACAAGGCGATGTTCGATGACGTGCTGAACTCCCCGTACTTGCAGGCGGATCAGTGGAAGATTTACCCCTGCCAAACCACCCCCTTCTCCGTCATTGAGCAGTGGTTTAAGGAGGGCAAGTACCACCCCTACGGGCTCGAGAGTTTGATCGACGTGCTGCTCTACGCAAAGGTACGCGTGCACCCGTGGATCCGCATCAACCGCGTCATACGCGATATCCCAGTCGACTACGTGCTGGCGGGGGTGGAGGTGACAAATCTGCGGCAGCTGCTGGCGGCGAAGCTGAAGGAACGCGGCGAGCGGTGCCGCTGCATCCGCTGCCGCGAGGTGAAAGGAGACAAGCACGTGAGCGAAAAGTTGAAGTGTGCGGTGGTAAGGGAGCGCACGTACGAGGCGAGCGAGGGCACGGAGGTGTTCCTCTCCGTCGAGGCCCCGACAGAGGACGAGACGGTTTTTGGCTTCTTGCGCCTGCGACTGCACATCCGCCACTGGGACACCCCGTTTGCCGAGCTGAGCACGTGTGCGCTGATCCGCGAGCTGCACGTGTACGGGCACTTGCTGCCGGCCTACACCGCCACAAATGGGAGCTGCGATGCTGTCACCACTGCTGCTGCCCCAGCTGCGCAGCACACCGGCATTGGCCGGCGCCTGCTGGAGCGCGCAGAGGCCATCGCGACGGCGGCGGGCTACGCGAACATCGCCGTCATCAGCGGTGTCGGCGTGCGAGGTTACTACAGGCGTCACGGCTACCGTTTGATGGCGGCGCATCGTGGAGGTTTTCTCATCAAGTCGTTGCCCGGAGAGAACGGCACGGCTGCTGCGTCCCTTTCTTCTCCTGTCTCAGCAACGTCGGCGTCACCGACGGCGTCAACGTTTTCGCTTTCGCGCGACGCTGACTTAATTCACCGCCTCACTCTTAAGAGAAACGATGCTCAGAGGGTCGGCGCCTCATTGACCATGGCGGCCACAGTGGCACGTGCGGGCGTGGCGCTGCGCACACACGCGCTGGATCTGTACTGCCAGGTGCGCCGCCGTGCCGTGACGTGGTGGGCAGGGCGAAAGCGGAGTCGCGGGGAGGACGCGAGCAGTGTCGAGGAAGGGTGAGCGGTGTTTGGCGCCGGAGTTGGCGTTGTCTTGCGGCACCACTTCCGTGTGAGAAGAGCAGTGGAGAAGTCTGAATCAATGCTCTTCGTTGCCGCTTGATATCACCGCCGCGTATAAGCGCGAAGGTGGAGCCATCGCGTTTTGGAAGATCAGAGATCGCAGGCGACACCGCGTTTTTATTTGCTTTCTTATTGACATTAGACGGGACCTTCCTGCACAGTCGACTGCATGCAGCGGTGCCCAACTCACGAGATTCACTCCGCACGCACGAAGAGCTCTCGCTTTCGATCGCGCATTAGCAGCCACTTTTGCGTGCGTGGCAAGGATAAAATAGGTATTTAAATCTTAAAAGAAAACATGAATGAATTACTTTTGAAAAGGAAGAAGGAAAGGCTCGGATCATGGACGGGTGTACCCATCCCACGCGTGTTGCCTCGCTGAGGCTCGAAAGGGTAACGGCCGAAGAAGAAAACGGCTGCTCGCTGCGTTCTCCAGCCCATGCGTTTTTGTTTTTGATATTGGCGGAGCGTGCAAACGCGAAAAGCCGCTGCGACCTCGAGGCGCTGTTATCTTTTTATTATTTTCTGCCGCTCGCATTGTGGGTGCCGCGCGTTTAACGGAAGCAAAGTCATCGCCCCATCTCTCTCCCCCCTCTCTCCCTCTCCTTTCATTCTTTCACTCTCGCTGCTCCTGAAATGTGGTTGGCGTCGTTGCGGCGAAGAAAAAGTCGCGGCTTCCCGCTTCCTTCTCTTCCTTCGCTATACTCTCTCTCTCTTTAGCAAATCAACTCTCTGTTCTTGTTTTTTTTTGTCTTGTCTCGCTCCGTTGGTTTTTGTTCTCCGCAACATTAATTACGGTGGGCGGCAAAGAAGAAAGCAATAAGAAATAAATAACTATTCCTTTACGCGGTTGTCTTACCTTTGTAGGTCGATTTAAAAAGAAGGAAAAATAAGAAACCTCGCGAAATAGCTGTCAGCTGCAGTCTCTGATGCGTGAAATCGTTCCGAGGACGCTTTAGATGCTCCCTACAGATTTTTCTCTTCACTTATATTGCCGCGAAAATTGAAATTCTGTTTTGTTTTGTGTTTCTTTCGTCCGTTGGTCTCTTCAACGACGGTTGCCTCCGCTTTGATATATATATATATATATATATATATATATATATA